TAGCAGCTTGTGATTGGATTTCTCACCTGCCATTTTTTGGAACCCCTGGCACTGCGTTGCTGGAGAATTGTAACTTCTCATTCTCACACTTTGCCCGTAATCTGCACCCATCTTTTGTAGTATAAATCTCACCATCTCCACCTGATATCATCCTATTCAATGACACCTTCTCCGATGAGCCTTATGAAAGCGAAACAGCTGTCAGGAGGAATTTCAGTATCTACCTGCAACCCTTCCTTGTATGGCTGTTGGTGTGTGTTAGGGAGGGCCCAAATATGCTCAAAATATTCACATAATTATTATGCTTTTCGCATATTGGGTACTTGCTTCAAAATATGCTTCGAAATCACACAAAAGCAGAAAAATATGCTCGAAATATGCTCGAAATATGCTCGAAATATGAACTGATATCAGTGATATTTTATGCGAATTCTTTGCTCCTTGTAGCAAAATAGGCCTTGACGGATTATGCTAATACTTTCGTGAAATTATGCTTTTCGCATTGCTCAAAAAATTGCAGAATTATGCTATTTTTATGCTAAAAGTTATCATATTATGCCGCATTGTGCTCACACATACATGTATGCTGCTAATGTATACGATGGTTCTGTGCAAAATAACAGGGGAATTTTTTTGTAGAGGGCGTTGTACTGTAGTAGCAAAAGTTCAACGGGGTCAACGCACCGTCCGACCTAGCTATGGCCGTCACTGATTGTAGTGGACTGGACATGTTATCAAGGGAGTCGTAAACCTACGACTTCCTGGTGCATCTACTTGTACTTGTACTTGTAGAACATGCACAACTGCATGGAATTTGATGCGAACAGGCGGATTATTCCAATTTATACGATTCGTATGCAATTTGCCTCGAATTATGCGATTATTCGATTCGTATGCAATTTGCCTCGAATTATGCGATTATTCGATTCGTATGCAATTTGCCTCGAATTATGCGATTATTCGATTTTGGTAGGAATTATGCGAAAAATTATGCTAGCATAATCCGTCAAGGCCTATAGCAAAATATGCTACATTTGGTACAATATGCTAGATTTGCTACTTTATGCGACCTTGAGTCGCGGACACTCTATTCTCGGGTCAAATTTTCGCCCCGTGTTTGGATGAGCATTTTTCCTTCCGGGCTGAGTTTGGAAGTGTTCCCTGACCGAGCGTGCCGTGGTAAGTTAAGTTTCCTTGGCCATTTCTGCAATCTGCCCTATAATTATGCGAATTCTTTGCTCCTTGTAACAAAAAATGCTACATTTGGTACAATGTGCTAGATTTGCTACTTTATGCGACCTTGTGTCAAAAGGACAAAATATGTGAAAATATGCGCAAGCATATTCGGGCCCTCCCTAGTGTGTGTTATGGCTACAGAGGGTAGCAGTGAGTCGGCTGTGAGAGCGCATGGAGGAGAGGAGAGGAAGAGTTCTTTAAAGTTCATCTTGTGGCTAAAACTTTACGGTAAATATTATCATCATATGGACGGTCAATCTCTTGTGAGCTTTGGACTATGCAGCGCAATTTTGCAGCCCTTTCTGATGTGTGTCATAATCCTGGATCCGCAGGGTCTGAGTTAAAGCAGAATTTCGGACACAATTTCGCGCTTATTATAAACAGCATATATTTGCCTGCACAAGTCGCTTCACTAGTATATAAATCAAGGATCATTTTCACTGTTAGGAGATCCCCCGATAGGCTATGCCTTTGGGAAATCCTTTAAATAAAAAATATTATAAATACAAAGTGATAGTGTACCCGTGTATGGAAGATTTCACCACCACCTCTATCGCGATGCCTTTATTATACACCTGATGTCTGACAGTTTGCGGTTCTAAATACAAAACATGATGCGAAGCTTCCCATTCATTTATTATCTTTGACAACATTGAGCCTCCCAAATTGGGCGTTTGTTGCTTTGCGTTGTCGATTGGTGGTTTAATAGACAGTATTGTCCAATGGTCTTACCCTCCCATTATCGTCCCAAGCCAGCAGCATTCCATGGAGCCTGGGAATGGGCTGAATGGCACTTACATGTATATACCTTCTCCTCTTTGGAATTATCAATAATGTCCATGAGCCGTCCAAGTTGGAAGGCCGTTGGTTAGCGCTATCGACCAGTGCTCAAGCACATTTTCATGCCGGGAAACATCTCAGTATTCCTTGTCAGTATGGTGCTAAATTGTGCACGTCTGACTGTTCAAAATCTGGATTAGTTGGAGGACACTAGCGCATAACCTGTGCCCCACTGTTTTCAATGTTTTCAATTTACAAGTATTTCCTTAGCTCATCATCTGAGTTATCAATGGAGATAACAAGGTTTTCGATCTGGTCTACAGCATGAATTAATGTTTCTACTCCGTGAATATAATTTTAGAATGGAAGAGATACACATCCATGATCTAGCAGTCACAACTACCATTTCACCTCATGTCCAGTAAGTACAAGTACACAGATCAATATGGTCTAGTATTGAATAGAACATGCCTAGTGAATAGTCAGCATTACCTGACGAAACAACTAGAACATTGGACGAATAGCCATAATATTATTGTACAATTGGACAGACACAAAAGATGATAGCCTCTGTGTATTTGAAGTGGACGTACAATTCTGGTACTAGTGATCCCCTGGTATGAAAGGCAACCCTCATTAAGCATGAAACGCTCAGTATTTATATATAGGTTGCAAGAAATCTGCTACTTGTTATAATACCGTTATAATCTTACCAAGCATGGCCTCCCACACGGGCCACAGATCCCGAACATAGTCCTGAATAGATATGGGCGAGCACTATTCCAATGGGTGTAACAGGGTGGGGATATCGGCGAACGATCCTCCATGTATCATGGAACTAGAACTATTATTATTATTATTATTATTATACATGTACTGTCCGTGCTGAATACTGCACAATTCATTCAGCCACGGTTGGTGTAATGCGGTTCAGCATGCCTGCACAGTCCACGATGATGTCCGGTCTTCTCTGCACACTCCTATCCACTATGACCAAGGCGACAGTAACTGTTGTAAAGAGACACTACAGACTCCATTTCTTCTGACATCAGTAAGACGACACGTCCACGGCAGATGTGCATGCCGGGAGCCGAAGTATGGAACTCTACGTCACAGCTACGTACCTGTTGAAGCGTCCCAGGAGCAGCGAGCCCAGCAGACGGGGAACAAGACGAACAAAAGGGCGAACGGCCTTTGCCGTTGATTTATATTATTCATCACTCCATCAGGTTATGCAAAGCAGGACTGCGCCTGGCCAACGCCAACTGTGCCAGACCCATCGTTCAGAGCGGCGAAAGCAGTGGAATGACTCAGGACTCGGCTCTATACCCCAGCTTGATAGCTACGAATTACGATCATGACCGGACACTTCAGATACATGCGTGTGCATCACTAGTTGCACTACTAGTACTACAAGTAGCACAATACATGGATTACTTCTGCGGCTCCATTACTAACCTTACTAACCTGGATATAATTATTACTGAACCCAATATCTTCAAGCTCAACAACATGTGAGAACAGGAAAGGAACACATTCAAATGGAAAACGCCAATGGTCACGTGTGCATGCAACTCAGGAACGGATGGGGATCATTTTGTTACTACTGGTACTACAACTTTTGGTACAGTGCTGTATGGCACGATTCCTATGTGTTGAATATGAACACAGTGTGTCCAGACAAATGCCTGTTCTAGATGCAGGCATATGTCAGTGTGCAATGTAAGTATCTTGGGCTTATGTTATAGTTATACTAGGATATACGAATATCATGCACCGGTGCTAAGTGCTGTAAGACCAGCCAGGACCTGTCGGTACAAGACGTCTGCAGTATAAGAACCTGGACACGAACGCGCCTGTGATCTTGTCAGAGAAGTGCCATTCTTACCCATCCATTGCCCAGTTACAAAGGATAAATTGCTTTCGAAGTGGCCATTAGTGCTTTCTAAAGATGGCCGACGAGGCCATGTGCACATGCTCAGACGACACTTACGCATCCCATACATGCGAGCCCACGTAACGTCGTTGCGAAGTCACTGACGAATGACTCAGCACTTGGGCCATATCATAGTTATGTAGAAAGGTCCTCCATCATTACATGTATACATAGCATGAGCAATGCTTACTCGCCATGGAAAAAAATGTGACCACTCCAGTGACGAAGCAGAGAGGCGGGGAGTGAGTTACAGCACGGGACCCAAAGTGGGGCATTTTGACGTCAAGGCACGCGAACAAGACTTCGTACACGCAGTCATAGCTCTTTGGCACCGTGGAAATTCACCGAACTTCTCTGTCTAAGTAGATCTACTATGCACCCAACCAGCCTTGATGGAGATAGCGTAGTGGCTAGTGCACTTGTTATAGTATTACGGATAACTATTACTTGCTATGCCTCTTATCGCAAAACCTGGGCCGGTGGGGTGATCCACTTGCAGACGTACATGCACGTAGAAGAAAGGCATGGTGATGTACGTGCCCGGTACCACACATATGGATCTGCCCAGATATCACCCTACTCTGGGGTTAGTGAAAAGAGGGTGCGACCGAAACGGTCAGCACGTGCCACTTGAACTTGAACCCCAAATGCCTCAGAAGTGTTCTATGGCGTATTCGAGATTCGCAGGGTGCCAAGATTACCACCCCTAGTACGGCGTGATACTTACCCATGCCGGGCATAGCGCGAAAAGTCTGGAAATCCAAGAAAGATTTGACGTGATTTGCGTGGCACGGAAAGAAGGCCAACATTATGCGAGAACAAAGCGATCAATCAGAGAACGTGATCCACGCACGTGTAACTGCTTCTACGGCAAATGAGAAGCATTAGAACTAGAAGGGTTGGATCCACCCCACACGTACCGTCATGCTCTGCAATTCCTTTCCTTTGTCTGTTCATGTTTCTGATTGTCTCCCCATTCCATGGCACATGAAGCACCCACATTTACTCGTGAGTTCCCATGAAAGCATCGATGGTTGTAGCAAGGTATATAACACCTTCCGGAGTCAATCAGTGCTTCAGTATTGTAAAAGAGAGACTTTGGCAAAATTAGTGCGGTGATTGGGGTCTGGTTTCAGGAAAACAAACAATTGAAAGTGTTTAGCCACATACATGTACATGTATTTCGTCCACTGAAACGTATGTAGCAAAGCCCTTGCATGTATCGCACTTTGTGGAAATTATCGTGAGCAGAAGGAGAGTAAGGGTTGCAACAGGCTCTAAGTTTGGAACATATTGGTCATAACATTTCAAAAGTTGGCAAGGTTCAAGTTCCCCACTCTTTTGGCGCTTGGTAACTTTATCGAGAAGGTGGGAATGTCTGCTGCCAGTTCTGAGACAGAATTTCAGGAACCCATTGCGTCGTCAGCCCTTTTACCGAAAAGAAGTCAGAGTTCTTCACCTGCTAATTCTTCTTCGTCACAGGAGGCCCAAGTTTCAAGAACGAGCGGATCGACCATGCTAGAAAGGACAGACCACCTTGCAGAGTCGACAAGAACCATGTCCGACGAAACTTCGGACATCATGGAAGTGGAGACCGATACGCAGGAAAAGATGGGAGTCCAGCTACAGCAGGAGGAACTGACGGTGCAAAACGAGGTACCGCAGTCAGCGTCGAGCCTCAACGAAGGTACTGAAGCAGCAGCATCGCCGCCTACATCCTATGTACATCGGTTTGGGAAGAGGAAGATGTTCAAGAGACGCAAGGGAGTCCATCAGTTGATTACTGGATTCGATAAGCTGAGGTCCAAACTAACGTCCTACGCACCAGAGAGACACCTAAGTAAGATCGACACATTGAGAATGGCAAGTTCCTACATCAAGGACTTGCAAGCAGTCTTGAAAGAAGATGAGGAGCGTGAGATGGTTGCTCAACGTGCTGCAGCAAGTGCAACATGTCAGGGATGCTGTTTACACCAGAGGTGCCCCAGGGTCAGACCAGCAACAGAGCAACGATCATTCTACAGCCTGGAAGATGAGCTGGATTTGTCATGGTTGTATGGTGCAGACAGTCCATCTCTGACCATGCCCCTGACTAGCCGTCATAGCTCATGCCCGTCATTCTCTACCTTACCGCACCAGACCTTACAGCGTTCACCCAGTCTTGACCTGTCCGTCTTCTCGCCATTAACACTACCATACCAGTCGCAAATGTTCGGTACGTCTGAAGCAGCGCCGACTGATTTGCCTTTCACCTCCACTCAAGGTTTGTTTGACAGTGTTTTACCAGCACCAGCAGCAGTATGTGCTGGATTTCCAGCAGAAGAATTTAGACTATCTGAGTTCTTTGATCATTGCCTTCAGGAATCCAAGGGTAAATCAACAAGACAAGGACCTACCAGTGGCACTGTCAGGGCCGGTCGGAGCAGCTTGAAAGAGTGCCTTATGCACCAGAATGCAGAGCAGTATACACGAATACACGAATCCAGTGGCACTGTTCACACGACGGAACAACGAGAATTGAGTGCTTCGGCAGTGGGAACTGACTTCCCGCCTGCAGTTCTTCCAGCAACACATCATACACATGCATCGGCTGTGGACACACTGCAAAGTTCTAGAGCCGCACGACTCTCTTCACTGTCATCTTCCTCACTTGTTTCACTGGCGTCACCTGCATTGGTTGTGCCTGAGCCCGTAGAAATGGCAACACAGCATTCTCTAGTGCAGTGCTACCCGCCAACAACAGCTTCCATTTCATCACCACTTGGTTTATCTAGCCTATCTTTGGCTACTGCCGTGGAATCACCACCAGTTGCCGGAGAAGACAGCTACTATTCTTCAGGTCAAGAAGAGTTTGAGCTAATCCAGATCATGGAGGAGATGGTAAGACATGTTTCATGGTTAACTGGGTAGTTTGAGGTACTTCGAAGTAGTTAACATTGATCGGCAGTCCTTAGTCCAGGATACATGTACATGTCCAATCAAAGTGTTTGGGATCTTTGCTGCAAATAGTGCTGAACACCCTAACCAGGGGCAGAGGGTACTACACAAGGCAGAACATCAGAGGCCAATAGCTTTCTCCTCAGAGTCCTCTGATGAATGTTCTGAAACACGAAACTCGGAGTAACGAGAAAGCTTTTGGCCTCTGTGGTTCTGCCTTGTACATGCACAATCACATGACTTTTGAACTACCCATCCGCCACTGTGGATGGATATCTGATCCTTGCCCTGCTTCATGATACACATGTATAAGAAATGTACTGGTTGTCCCATACATGTACAGCAGCTTGTGCCAGAAAACAGTTTGACCCCAAGTTTGCTAGATGAACTTTACACAAGTCATTGTGTACATTTCTATAGAGTTGCATGCAGCCAGTGCTACATGTACTTGCCCCACACATCTTACCGCATGATAGAAACAAGGCAACACGCGTGACCACCTTATGGTCCATGCATATGCATGGCTTGAGTAGGGGATTGTGGAAGAATTCCTACACATACCGAAATTCTCCCTCAGCAGTGGAAGCAGCTGGTTGCCTGATACTTTTGTAACTGAGCCCAGAGTTGGACAACCTGAATACCATACTAAAACACAAGCCTAGGGAGAGAGAGAGACTAGGAATAGATGTGAATATCACACATATTATTTCCCAGATTACAAGTCACACTCGATTATAAGTCGCACCCCCATTTTCAGGTCTGACCACATTGATTCAGAATATTCACATTAGCGGGATGTTACACTCGATTTCAAGTTGCACCCCTTATTTGCCCTTGAAGTTTAGTGTAAAAAGGTATTACTTATATTCGGGGAAAATCGGTACCTGGTACAGACTATTCCAGTATTTCATAAGGAAGCAGTTTTTGTCTGGAAAGAAGAGGGCTTTTCCTCTTCTACTAGCCATATCTACTAGCCATATCTACTAGCCATATCTACTAGCCATATCTACTAGCCATATCTACTAGCCATATCTAGCTTCCAGCGCAGTTAATCTCTCACTTGAATAAAACTCAATCTGATGCATGATATTTTCATTGGTGTGTTTTGTGTACAGCTGAGCGAAGAAGATTAGATAACTGGTTAGACGACCATGGCAGGCAGAGAAGGTTCATCATGCCCTGACAGTGGAGGGTTTGCGGTAGTGTAAAATAGCATCCTTACGCATCAGTTGGCGGTAGGTTGAATGAGCAAAATCAGGTCATCGACTGAACCAAACACTTCACTCACGGTGCATGCATGATACAGCCGCTCTAGAATTATTATCCATAGGATTTTTCAATTTTTCCAATTTCACCAGATACACAAGGTGCTGGAGTGGGAGTGAAGGAAGCAGAAATCATGCTCTCAATTAGATATTTTTTTAAGTTTTCGAATTCCCTATTTTTCATGTACCTGAATTCATGCACACAACAGAACTATGAGGTTGATACTATTATTTGACATAGCAGCAATGTCACACTTCCCTATGCTGCGCCAGTGTAGGACTTACACATATGGCCTAGAAACATTCTTCTACTTGATAGAGCAAGCTATATTATAGCTTGCTCTCTACTGCTCTTAGGAAATTAAGGATTTACTTTGCTTCTATGAGAGCTTACCACCCAGGCTGGTTGAATCTACTTTGAAGTAGCAGCAAAGCACTACATACAGTTTTGAAAGGAGATTAGTAGCAGATTACTAACAAACTGGACTCAAGATGAGGCCTCGTTGTAGTTGACTATTTGCGTGGATTGTGTGTGTGTGTGTGTGTGTGTGTGTGTGTGTTTGTGTGTCGTGTGTGTGTGTGTGTGTGTGTGTGTGTGTGTGTGTGTGTGTGTGTGTGTGTGCGTGTGTCGCTGTGTGCTGCTGGCCAGGGTGTATGCGCATGTTACGTAAAGGAAGGTCAGTCTCCATCTTGAGTCTTTGTTGTCAAGTATATCCTCTTTCAGTCGCCATTAACCTACACTTCTCATGGTCAATTCAATGTACTTTTAAATAGTGTATTGTTTGTGGCTGAAAACAAGAGTCCATGAAGTGCAACCCTTTTTTGATTTGTTTTTACTCTACCTACAGGTACATGCCTCCATGAAGTGACTGTTCTCAGTCACAGCTTGGAAAAAGGAAGAGCAGTTTCATTCGAAGCTTCCTCATATGACATTGCGCCTTGCGGCATGAGAAATGAAATACAGTAACCGTGAAAACTATTTTTAGTAGTTACACGACCGTACTCATTGCTTGCTGTACTGTCAATGAGTAGCACCTACCTAGCCATCACTGTTATGGTCATGATGACTTTGTTTTACTTCGCAAATCCAAACGGGAATTTCTTCCAAATAAGAAGGTAGCGAAGGTATAGGAGAGGGAAGAAAAAGGAAGGAAAGAGTGTGTGTCACGTGACTTGAAAATGATGATAGTCAGCACGGGATCCATTGTCAAACATAGCGATTAGCTACTGTTGCAGGTGTTGAGCAGGAATACAACAGGCACAGTCAGTGACCGATTTTGTAAGGCACCGGTGCAGCTTTGAAGGTCTCCAGCGTAGAGCACTTGTGCTGGATGGAGTGGACGTCTCCAGGTAATATGTTACATTTATCTGTAGCGCTGAAGGGTGAAGGCATACATGTATCTCGACTTGCCAGCGTCTATCAAAACAACGTTCTGGCTATGGCCGGCTGGACATAATATTATTTTATGTTGCCCAAATATCTGTAGACCTTCATACACAACTACACGGCGCAGACAGAATCTGGCGTAGCTTCGTACTCGTGACAATGACTGTATGTACAGTTATGTTCATGTGCATTGAAAATGTTTTCAGTTCGCTCTTGAAATCAATCAAAGCCGGAATCGAAATCAGGAGTACATACATGTACATGACATTGTGTATGTACATGACTTGCAGGTGTACCAACTGATGGCACAGATCGTGCAATAGATCTACCCTTGCTAATAGTAATACTCAAAACCCTTTCAAGTATTGGTAGGAACGCAAACGTGGAATAGCAAAAGCCTTGAAAAGGTGCAATGCAAAGTAATGTAGATGCGAAATCCAAAGCAACAGTCAAGAAAACTACGACAATCATGAACCTCAAAATACTATTGTACAACGAACGTGTATTGAGCAGAGGAGGGGACTACCCTGCCATGAGCCCTCAGAATAACCAGAGAAGGGGACTACCCTTGCACTACCGATATGTACCGGTAGTGCTACATGACTGTACATGTAGTTGGAGTCCACGTACATGTAGTACAATGCCATGCCTTGTATAGTACAATGGGTCAATGACAATGTCATGTAGATCTCGATATTAGGCCAGGGGGTAGGCTACTACTAGTACTGCGTCTGTAGACTGACTGGTCCTTGTATTTTATTTAGTACTGTTGTACTTGTAGAGGTATTTTAATTAACACCACCCCGCCGCGCGCCGGTCCCTGCTGCTCTGAACAATGAATGAGTTTGCTTTAGTTTAGATGGCATGTGTAACTACTGAGTACTGTGTTGTTGACAGTGTGAGTGTGTAAAGTAACAACTTGGACGGGTTACGTTACTCGTTAGTTTTACTGCACTGTACATATACACGGAGTCGTACATACATAATGACTTGTAATAAAGTCGTTCCTTCAAACTCGTTCCTTCGTTTGTTATTGAGATTACAACGAAAGGCTGCTTGACCTGACGGTTGCTGCCCCTTGTTGAACGAAGAAGCGTGGGTGCAGATAGAAATTAATTCCTCGCCAACAACCAAGTAAGGCAATATTTGCAGTGATAGCGAGGCCAGATAAACTCCTGCTGGGTTGTTTGAGGTCCAGCATTCACGCTGCGACCGGTAATATCTCTAACTGTTACTTGGCTAGCTGAGCGTCGTCACGGGCAGGAATTTCCAGTCCATAACTTCATTAGGTGGTGGGCGGATAACTGAGTCGTGCGGCGAAGCGGAGAGGCAGGCGGCTTTCAGACGGAACGTCCGTGATGAGGCTCGCTCTGAACAGGTGTGACTATACTCATGATGTCCAGGTTATACTAACCGTAAATAAATCATTAAATGTTTACATAATCATTACTAAGGTTCGTGCACCAGAAAATATTGGGTACCGGAAAATTGTGTATTTTGTAGAAAGCCAGGCAACCATCCACTCGATTCGCTGGACTACGTGAGTGTTCTGGACGGCAGTCCTGAGTCAGTCAAGTGTCAAGTCGACAGGAAATCGCGACCTCCCATGTCAGGGGTATCAGACACACTATGGTCCCTCAGGGTTCTAGCCAAGTCAGTATAGTACTAGTAGGGGGGCGGCCACGGGGGAAACAGTTACCCGGTAAGGGCCGGGTTCCACTGCGGCTCCGCTGCTCCGCGGCACTTGGCTGCATGCAGCGGAGCAGCACGGTTCCACTGACACTCGCCATTCGCGGTACTGCGGTCGTGGTCCACACTTTTTGATGACGTTTCACCTGCCTGTGCGCGCGCGCACGCGAAATCCAAAAATCCTCGTGTTCTGGCCTGCGCAACGAATTAAATTTTGAATTTTGAACTTCTGGCGTACAAAACAATGCAAAGTACGGGAAACAGGTCGAGCCGCGACCGCGGCTCGCAGTTTTTGGTCAAGAATCGTAGCGAAAGCTCGCGGTGAGCCGCGGTCACTGTGGTAATGATGACGTATCAAGCCGCGAAAGACGAGCAGCGGAGCCGCAGTGGAACCCGGCCCTAACCCATTTTTCCATTTTCCATTGTCTTGGCATGCAAAAATGCAACACGCGGGACGAACCTCCGACTTCACCCTAGACAAAATATGCCTTACGAACCCTCTCAGTACTACTAGCAGTGACTATCGACTGCATTTTCGTTGGATGACATGGAAAAATACAAAAATTGACAAACGAGTAAAGGCCAGGGCGCCACTTTTCACAGGGGCCGCTCAATCAGAGTAGGAAGGCGTGGTGCCCCCCCCCCCCCCCCCCCGCTCCCTTGGCTATAATCCTGGCCACTACGGTATAGACCATACCACTCTTTACCTCGGGTACCCCATGAATCGATAAAATTCACTGATCACGGCTCTGGATTTCGAAAGGTTCAGCAGCCCCCCCCCCCCCGATCCCCGAGTAAATCATGTTTTGCAGTTGCTTGACTGTACCACCCTTTAACCCTTTGAAGCCCAAGGACGAGTATACTCGTCCCTAGTGATTTCCCAAGGACGAGTATACTCGTCCCTAGTGATTTCCCAAGGACGAGTATACTCGTCCGCGTACATATGCTCAGATACACTGAGAACCACACCGATTTCGCGACTCAAACATCGCTCATGGCTCTGGAATCGATGGGTACATGTAGTAGAAGGCCTGGTCACGCGACGATGTGACTCGCGTGGGAAAATTCAGATAGCTATGACGATGTTGCTGTATGTTTAAAATGCGTAATGCGTATTTGAGTATTGATTTTTGAATTGCAACGCATGGCGAGGAACTGTGCCAACCTGTCACTTCAGGATGTCCACAAGGCGATTTTCATCGATGATGACAGTGCCGATAAGCCTGCTGAGCCATGGTCCGACAGCGATGAGGATGAGTCAGAGGACTCAGAGTCAGAGCCTGAAAATTTGGAGCGCGATCAAAATTTGATCGTAGAGCAGACTACACCTGACGTCGATCCTGCGCATCCCTGACGAAGCTGGAGCTGCGACAAACTTGGATGATGGGCCAGTAGCTGATGGTGGGGCGAGCGACGAGGCTGACGATGACGGCGGAGTGTTTAAGACTCCATGAATTTGATAATTCTGACGCAGCCCTTGATGACACGATATGGACAAAACGAAATGACGAGAATGCATCACCCCAGTTTAGTGCCACTCCTGGACTGGTGAATGCACCTGATGATGCTGAAGATGTGTCCTTCTACACAGGCCTGTTCCTGCCTGATGAGGTGTTTGATCTACTTGTGACAGAAACACATTTATATGCACAACAGTATATAGCCAGCACGAATGTCTGGCCGTGCGCAATGGCGGTGGGATGGAAGCCCGTCTCAACAGCAGACATGAAACAAGTGTTTTCCCTCTATGTCCTGTCTGGTTTGGTTCGCAAGTCGCTTCTGCTCGAGTACTGGAGCACAGATTTCCTGATATCTACGCCAGGATTCCCAGCCATCATGTCCAGGAACTGATATCTACGCCAGGATTCCCAGCCATCATGTCCAGGATTCCCAACCATCATGTCCAGGAACTGATATCTACGCCAGGATTCCCAGCCATCATGTCCAGGAACTGATATCTACGCCAGGATTCCCAGCCATCATGTCCAGGATTCCCAGCCATCATGTCCAGGATTCCCAGCCATCATGTCCAGGATTCCCAGCCATCATGTCCAGGAACCGATTCTTCACAATTTTCAAATTTCTACACTTTGTGGATAACGCTACAGCTGACAAGACTGACAAACTGTACAAGGTGAAGCCGCTCATCGATCTGCTCAGTACCGTGTTTCGCACAGTGTATGTACCAGATACGCAGATATCAGTGGACGAGGAACTAGTCAAGTATCGAGGACGAGTTTCTTTCCGCCAGTACATACCGAGCAAGAGGGTGAGATTTGGAAGAAAAGTGTATGCTCTGTGCGACTCGTCAGGGTACTTCTGGAATTCCACCGTGTACAGCGGAAAGCCTGCACAGCCGCTACCACTTACCGCTCAGCTAGGTTCAACTGGAGCACTGGTCATCCACCTGCTAGATAACTTGTCAGGGAAAGGTTACAGACTTTTCCTTGACATTTTCTACACTTCATTCTCTCTCGCCGAGTATTTGCTTCAGCACGGCACGGCCATGTGCAGCACCATGAGAGCCAATCGTCTTGGCATCCCAGCAGAGTTGAAGGCAGCTGACGTGCCCAAAGGTGGCTTTGCATTTAGAAGGAAGGGCAAAGTGCTGATCATCAAATTCAATGACAAGAAAGTTGTGCATTAGCTTTCAACAATGCATAACACCGACAGCACTGCCACGCGCAAGCACAATCAACAACGCCAGGTCGTCCACCGCCTGCGCGCCAACCACGACTACAATCAATTCATGGGAGGTGTGGATAATAACGATAGCATGGTGCAGACCTATTCTGGTCTACGAAAATCATGCAAGTGGTACAAGAAGTTCGGCTTGCATTACATTGAGGAGAGCAGGCAGAATGCATATGTTGTTTATCGCCGCTATTGTCCAGCGAACACACACCAAAGCCACTTCCGCTTCCAGAAAGAGATGGCCCGCAGCTTGCTGATTTCTGCTGGCGTGAATGAAGATGCCATTGCTCTTGTCACACCTGGTCAGCTTAAACGACTGGCTGGCAAGCATTTCCAGCAACCCATCCCACCCACTGGCACCAAGCAGAATCCCACGCGAAAATGCGTTGCGTGTGAAGTGCACGGCCGGCGACGGGAGTCACGCTACGAGTGCAGAATGTGTCTAACAAAGCCAGCGCTCTGTGTTCATCCGTGCAACGAGCTGTACCACAACAAGCCCAAGTACTGAGGCCGGTTGCTTCTGCTCGGAGACTGTATATAGGCTGTACATACTATAAACACACACAAAGCCAATTATTTCAGCAAATTATCGCAAAACTGGCTTTTGTAAAAAGCCCATATTATGTTTTTTTTAGAGAATTTGTAAAAAAATGGTCTCCATGCTTGAAAAGGGCATGTGCACCAGCTAGGATGGTCATGACTTGATTTCCATAAGATTTCAAAAATCTCAAAATTTGGTCGAAAATGGCTGGGAAATCAGGGAATCCGGCTGGGCTTCAAAGGGTTAAATGCCTTCCGACGCCCCTGCTTGTAGGGAGCAACACATGCATAATAATTTAATTTATCAAGGTATGCAAAAGACGTTACATAGCGGCATCTGGCATATTCAGGGTCCACAGCACTATATATTAATAAATTATTATTATTGTTTATGTTGGTTGGTTGGTATATTTTATTTAACTTTGCCAGAATGAACAGTATGTGTATGTTTGTGCACATGTGTGTGTGTGTGTGTGTGTGTGTGTGTGTGTGTGTGTGTGTGTGTGTGTGTTTGTTTATGTGTTTGTGTGCATGTGTAAGTGTGGGTGGGTGTATGTGTGTATGTGTGTGTGTGTGGTATGTGTGTATATGTGTATGTGTGTATGTGTGTGTGAGAGAGAGAGAGAGAGAGAGAGAGAGAGAGTGTGTGTGTATATGTGTATGTGTGTATGTGTGTGTGTGTGTGTGTGTGTGTGTGTGTACTGTAGTGTATTGTACTAAAACCGGTCTCATACATATACGTTTAGAAGCCTGTTTTGAATACAAGCCTGATTTTCAAGATACACTGTCAGCACATAAGCTTAGTTTTAGTGTTGACATACATAGAAATACCTGGTGTGAGTAGAAGCCTAGTCCTGACATCGGTTTCTACAGGAATAGGCCCGGCTTTAGTACGCAACATTACGGTATGTGTGTGTGTGTGGGGGGGGGGGGGGAGCCAAGTGACTGATCACATGGGCGACCAAGAGTTGTGGGTAACGTAACAGTAGCCTGAGATCCCGAGCTGGCAGACCTCTCTTTGCATCAATCGAACAACAATCCCCTCTTATGGTCTCATCCTGAATCTGGATAAAATGTTTTTTCTCCTCTTTTTATACTATAGATCACTTTCCAGTCTGAGAGGGGGGGGGGGGGGCTCTCCGCAATGGGATAATTACAGTTCAGAGAACACCTACTTGTATACCAGTTACTCATGACTTGTGGCTAATTTTTCTCCAATTTGTCCGAGTCTTCAAGTACTCGCAAATTACATTGCAACTACTACTAAAAATAGAATAAAGGTTCACCAAATGTTCAAGCCTGGCCTATCATCATGGTTGCAACCAGTAAACAGTGAAGAGACTGCGCCGGTCAAGTGTTGTGAAGAGACTGCGCCGGTCAAGTGTTGTGAAGAGACTGCGCCGGTCAAGTGTTGTGAAGAGACTGCGCCGGTCAAGTGTTGTGAAGAGACTGCGCCGGTCAAGTGTTGTGAAGAGACTGCGCCGGTCAAGTGTTGTGAAGAGACTGCGCCGGTCAAGTGTTGTGAAGAGACTGCGCCGGTCAAGTGTTGTGAAGAGAATGCGCCGGTCAAGTGTTGTGAAGAGACTGCGCCGGTCAAGTGTTGTGAAGAGACTGCGCCGGTCAAGTGTTGTGAAGAGACTGCGCCGGTCAAGTGTTGTCAGGAAGCCTTTTTGTCTGAGTCGCAGTAAGTTATTGTAAAACCGAAAAGTCTAATGAGTCACAAAGTCTAACGTTTTAACGACCAATTTTTTCGTTATTTGAAGAAATGTTATCGTGAACCCGGTTTGAGATGTCTATGCAAAGATGCGCATACAGATGGGTGGCCAGGCAGCCATCGTTAACAAAAAACGTTTAAAAACTTTTTGGTCGTTAAACTTTCCGGTTTTACAGTACCCTAAGTTCACTTCCTAGTTTATTCCTGTCCATAACTATTCCTAGTTTATTCCTGTCCATAACTATAATGTTCTCTGCGATTTCTGTGTGTATGTGTGTGTACAGATTTCTGTATTTCTGCTTCTGGGCTGTTGCACTGCACTCCGTGGATACCCTGGGCCAGGACTGCTTTAGCTCAATTGGTCCGGGCTGTAGGAACCAGTGTGATAAAGGGGACTTTGACTCTACCCTCAACCTGACTTGGCCATCTCACTTAGGCGACGAGATCTGTGAGTCGTGATATTCATTGCAGCGTTGATGCGTTGGTGGACTGCTGATCCCAACATGACTTGGGCGCGTTGGCTTGATCGGTTCACGTTCCTTTTTGATTAATACAAACAACTACCTCCTCCTTCTCTCCCTGTCCCTTTAACAAGCGCTCTTTGCTGGACCAAAGTGAAACACCCAATATGAATTTTTTGGGTCTATTACATGCAGTAAAATGTATTGAATTGGAGCACGGTCCATTCATATCTGCACACTCGATCCTGTGTGAAAAGAAAAGAAAAATAACCTCTTCGCGCTCATGTATTGTTGGTTGTGAATTTAGATAAATAGGGTTGCTCTTTGAACTTAAAAGTTGCAACTTCGGCGGTATTAGTGATGAAGGTGGTTGCTCCAACGAGGAACACGCGCTTCCTGCTGAACTTGACACTTGACTGACTCACGACTGCCATCCGGAGCACATAAGGAGAATGTCACACATCAGTTACACTCGGCAAACCTGCAAAAAAGCACCACTCCCTGCTCAATACACAGTGTTTCGGGGAATTCACCCCTCATAGTGGAGCTTGAGTAGGCTGAAGAAGATTGTGCCTGAATCGCATATATACTGCTCTCCAGGCAAAACCATCACCAGGGATACAAACTTATGGAGACGCTCCATTCCCAGCGCGACAAACACCTCATGAGGCCCCAGGTAACAGCGTGAGTCAGAGTCGCTCATAGAGTTGTGCTAAACAGACGCTGAGAGCCAGTAGCTATTCACAACTCTGTCACATCCAACAACTAGTCGCAGGTCCGCGTGAGGGACAACGATATGAACTTAGAAGTTGCGACTTCGGCGGTATTTTTATGAAGTTGGCTTGCTAGCTTGCTCTTTGTTGTCAAATGTTCTTGCACCATACCTGTGTTATTTGTCTTCAAGGATTCGTAGCTGCTATGTATGTATTCGTAGCACTTGTTTATCATTCACCCTCCAATTATGAATGAACACCGCTGTTCGTATGTTTGGATATGATCGATTATCTTTTCACCGTTTTCAGTATCCTTCTGGAAGGAGATTGCGCAGAAACAAATGATAAAACTAAGTATATGCTGTCCTGATTGTGAGTGTGTAGATAGCAGCTGTATGTACTGCACTGAATTATTTTCTCTTCTTCAAGACAACTCTTTAAATCACTGCGTTCTATTCACTATATCCAAATGCGTGCCTGTAGGTACATGCCAAGGCACAAGCTCCGTGAGAGTCAGTCAACCACGTGAACAGTCCCCTGGTCCCGTTTGCTCTGAGTTTGGCAGTCCAACCGAGTGTGAAAGGCTGGTACCACTTCCGAAACCGGGATGCTTGACTGCGCTTCTGGCTGGTCCGAATTGTGGCGGTGAAACATGGAAAATCGAGCTGCAGTGGTTTTGTCCAGAGCTGCATGGTAAGTGGTTTTGTCCAGAGCTGCGGCATGGTAAGTAGCTAACAAGTCCATGTAGATGCATTACTCCTTTCTTCGATATTTTCTTGGTCGAAACTTCAGCACAAGCCCAAATTCTTTCCTACTGACAGTAGTTGTTTTGGATGATCACCATCCTTTGACACTAGATTGGTAGGTACTCTAAATGTGGCTTACACCAGGGCAATGTCTGTCTCTTGGCTGCAACATAGCTTGGTTCCAGAGCGTTACAGACCTATAGCAAAGGTCACTAGTTCCACTCCTGGTGGTGACCATCAACTTTGTCTTCAGATTTGCTTCCCTTCACAACTCCCTCAACCCACTGAACCGCTACGTTTTGTGTTATTTTTGAATTGTATGTTTTCTCTTTTCTCTCCTATTTGGGTAACTCCCTCTACTAATGAATGTTTGGGTAAAGCCTTGTTATTGCCTTGTTGTCCTTGTTGTGCACAGGATCACTTTGGCATTTAGCCGGGTTTCGCATTCGATTGATAGAAGAAACATCCCCTGTCAGCGTGTTTGAAGTCATTGACGTGGAAGTTGATTTGTCCACTGGGACGGGCATTTCACACGGTTTCCAGTACAGCCTTGTGTCCTCAGTGAATGAGTACAGTTCTCCTGGCGTGTGGATTGTCAGTCGAGTATTGAGTGAAAACACCAATGGAAGGTTTATCAAGTCTGGTACCAGCTGGAACTTGACTGCACAGGTTAATAGCCCTAGTGGATTTTTCTTGTCTTGTCTGATTTTTTCTTGTTTCTGATGGTCGAATTTAAATAAATACCATGTTAAATTTGCGCCGTTGGGTAGTTTCACCGGAGGCATGAGTTTTGAAGTCTGAAGAAAATTCCACGGTCTCTGTTTGGATGATGGTTACGCCATAGGCATAGCTTAGTGTTTAGAGCATAGCTGGCCTAAAGTGAACATCCCTGGTTTGAGTCCTGGTGGGGACAGTCAAATGTTTCTTCAGAGTTTTCCTTTTCCATTCTCTCAAGCTTTGTCGGATGCGAAGGCTAGTTTGTGTGTTTCTGAACATTCAAGCGATGCCGACGCGGATCCCGCGAATATTATTATTATTATTATCAAGCTTTGTCGAGAAATCCGCGAGTCCATTCTTGAAGTACTATACTACAGTTGTTGCCTGCCATTCTTTTTGGCCTGATTATGAGTACAGTCAGACCTCGCTTATCCGCTCCTCTTTCATCCGGATCCCTCGCCATGCGGAAGAAAATCGCCGGTTACCGGTGTGCAGCATACGTTACTCATACAACATAACCGGACCTCGCAATCCGCTGAGCTCATCCTTTACTTCCATAAGTCTTGCCTTCACGTTTTATGAGCACCGGCAATTTGTTCTGCACATCACAACCAGTAGTCAGGTGCTTACTATCGGAAGCCATCACCATGGGCCTCTGTACTAGTGTCAGGAATACATGTAGTCCCAAACCTGACCAGATGCCGGCACTTACTGTAATTTCACAAATTTTCGGTGTACTTTTATTTTCGGTACTTTCAGTGCGTCTGTTTCATACCTAAAATTTCAATACACCGAATAAACACTAACACGCATAATCCAATAGGGAACTGCTTCTCTGTACCGAAAATTTCTGTTCACCTAACCTGGCCTTTTGCCCTCATACCGAAAATATTGAGCACCGAAAAATTCTGAAATTAGAGCCTCAGGTATATGGGTGCAGTGCCCCAGAAGTTGTACATAAGCAACTCACAGCTGATATATCAATAATGATAAAATAATATTGCCCCAGAAGTTCATAGCCAATTACCAGCCAGAACATCTGGAACAGCTGCTAAATAAAAGCGACAGAGATAATTTGGTACTTGATTGATTGCAGAACCAAACCAATCTGTATGTGGAAAATCCAAATGTAACTTAGCACGAACATGAACCCACCGTGATTGCTCCAGGTCCAAAACCGGAACAGCCAGACTACGTTTCGAGTGAGCCAGTGCATGTACTAGCGCAGTCTAAACTGAGCAGTGGTGCGCCGAACGGCCCTGTTCCATGCCTTGTCACTCCCCAAGGCATGGACTGTAGCCGTCTTCTTATACATGATGCTTTGTTGTTGTGCTGTGTTGTTCTTGATTTAGGTCATTTCACTACCACTTCAGTCGAATCAGTCCGAAAGTCTAGACAGTGACCAGAGTACCCATGTTAAGGTGCAAGGTGTGAAAAGTAAGGCTTTAGCAGCAGTCTCTCTACTGTGTATCGTGAAAAATTTCACATTTCTTCTTCCTGTTGTAGTAATTGATAAGACTATGGATATTTGTTCTGATTCTTGTGATTGTTTCCCCGGCGACCGCTGTCTGAGTGAATGTAGAAGAGGTCCCATGTCTAAAATAGATTTTCATGTTCTAAATCTGCGAGTGCATACGGTTGATGTGGTGTTATTGCAAGCTTTATACTTTTGCTGGTATTGTATTGTGGTGGATGTGTGGAAATCTTAGTGGAGTCAATAGGATCATTTTACCAAGTATCGTACAAGATTGGACTATTTTGACAAATAAAGTCTGTGCCTACTAGCCAGATGGTTGTAACACTGTCAGCTGCAACTTGACTCCTACATTGTATCTTGCTCATTTTCTCTGCTTTGACTGCCCCTATTTAACAATCATCTTGGTGAGAGGTTGGGGCAATGTTGCAGTTGCATGCGAGTCTGGCTATCCAACTTTCTAATCGTACGTGCTGTAACTTCCGTCTTGCGATCAGCTTTTTCGGCACTAGAGGGAATTCCAGGAGGTGGAGGGAGCTGATGAATCAGTGCATTCGTTCTTGGTTTTTGCTCCAGGTTGCAGGTCACTGACAGGATGTGACAAGAATTATATGCAGTTCAATGCTAATCAAGGGCATAGCTGCCACTCCGCAGCATGCCAGAGGAACGGTATGTGGACATTCTGTGTGAGATATTGATTGCTGGATTGTTTTGGAGTGAGCATAAAATTAATAATCAATAAACCCACGCTGACAAGATTTATCAAAAATGTTGATATTCATAATCAGACCAAGGTCAGCAGAAAAGAAGCTTGGGTCTATTCCCGTAGCTATGCAAAATACCGGTCCACACAGCTTTAATTCATTGTTTGTTTGTGCCATCGGCATGCCTGGCGCTATCCCGTACCGTACCATCAAAGACAGCTGGCCACAATATTCAAATAGAGCTTTCAAATGCAGGATCATAACGTGAAGCAACTTGGAAGAATGAGTATGTATGCAAAGTGTATCAGGGGAATGCATGCAGGGCGATAGTGCGGGTTCGAATCCCAGGTTGTGTCTTGAAAAAAAGTGGAAAAATGAAAAATTTATAACATCCCTATGTTTTTTTTGCCTAGGTCATCAAGGTAGTAGACGGTGTCGTATTACTCTCGACCGTACCCGTACCGTACCGTACCATCAAAGACAGCTGGCCACAAACAGCTGGCCACAATATTCAAATAGGGCTTTCAAATGCAAGATCATAACGTGAAGCAACTTGGAAGAACGAGTATGTATGCGAAGTGTGTCGGGGGATGCATGCAGGGCGATAGTGCGGGTTCGAATCCCAGGTTATGTCTTGAAATAAAATAGGAGAAATGAAAAAATTATAACATCCCTATGCTTTTTTGCCTAGGTCATCAAGGTGGCAGACGGTGTCGTATTACCGTTGAATGCAAAGAGAAAGTTTGATGTAGCCAATCAATGTAGAAAAAAACATTTCCATCAGTTCTAATAACATGCATGATGAGCTAGCCAGGCAAAAAAAGCATAGCGTTAACGTAGGGCCCTGAGCTTCCAAGCTCTCTCGTTTCTGAAAATATAACGATATCTATTATTTAATGGCGCTAGAGCGACGAGCTATCTTAATGTCTGTGGTGCTTCCTTTGCATCATGGCTGGTAGCTCGGCTTGCTTAGTTAAAGCTCGTAGCTGTACTGGTGAGGCCTGTATGGCCGAAACAGCTTGCTGTCTTCAGCATTGGGTAACAATATTTTTTTAAATATAAATACTAGATGCGTTGGGGTTCCCGCGAACTAGTTTGTGCATAGAGTTTTCGGGTACAGAGAGGGCTGCGTCCCACGAGCCTGTGTGGTGTGACAGGAAGCGTGAGTTTTGTCTGAAGAAGATGGTTTTTAAGGTCTCTGCTTGGATGACGGCTACACCATAGCTCAGTGGTTAGAGGTTTGCAGCTGGCCTATAGCAAAGGTCCTTGGTTTGAGTTCAGGCGGGGTAATCAATTTTTTTCTTCAGGCATTTTCCCTTTTCAATTCTCACAACCGATGAATAAAAATTATTTTCTCAATTTTGTATTCTACTGGACAGAGATGATCAAGAAAACCGAAATTTGAAGTGTGTTGAATTGATGTATGTACCTTCTCTATTCTATTGCATCGTGCATACCGTAAAGTCCCGTTTATCCGCCCTCTCTCTAATTGCCGCCCCCTGTCGATTTTCTAGCTGTGAAGCCACTTCGGCGTATACAACGAAATACAATGTCGAACCGACGCATGCACTGCTGTACACAATACGTGCCAATCCAGGATGAAATTGTGCAGAATCCAGCACATCGAGTCTGATCCTCGACGTTGTTGTACTTCGTACTGCACTTTACAGCCTTGATCTAATTCCCGCCCCCTGCTGAAAACCCAGCTGGGAAGCGACATGGCGTGGGGGGGGGGGGGGGAGGCGGATCAACGGTACTTAACGGTATTAGCATTAATTCTATTGATAGCACAGTAACCAGTCGTATTGTACTGTGCCTTTGGTACCTGTGTACAGCCATCCAGCACAACCCAGCCGTGTTCTGTTCTTGTGGTAAGTGAACCAGGATGCACGGAAGTAGTTTTGAGATGTACAATGTTATAGCAAAGCCCCTAATCCTATCCATTGTGCAGTGCAGGCAACCACTGCAACTGGCTGGCAACCTAGGGTACTACTCTGTATTTCTGCCTATCCCTGTGTGTATTGGGTGTCTTGGAGAATCCACCGGTCAACATACAAGCTGCCACTGTAGTTCAGTCTTCGGGTCTGGGACGGATGCAGTGGAGGAGAATATTCCAATCGTTTCCATTCGGATAAGTTACTGAAATCAATCAACTTGGTTCGTTTAAACCTACTGTTAGCTTATTATTATCGCAGCGGAATTCCGGGTTCCATCTAAATCCCCTTTTCAACATACTTCTTGTGCACAATTTTTCTACAGTCCATTCAGAAAAAAATGAACTTCTAGCTTTTGGCCATAAATGGGTCAAACGTTGAGTTTTTTTAGAATTTTTTTCTGCAATCCCATATGGAATCCTCTTCCAATTATGTTTCTGAAGTTTTTTGTCCAAAAAGCAAGCCATAGCAAGAATAGGATTTCGGCCAGGTTTTGCCCCAAAAGCACTGAATTGGGAAAAACCATCAAAATCCAGGCCGTTTGACCCCGCCTGCAACAGTGCACATTCTGCGGTTCGAACCCCAGTTCAGGCACCCTTTTTGGACCCTTTTTCAAATTTCAAAGTTCGCAGCACTGCACTGTGTACGATGAAATCACGAAAAATCGCCAAATACGGGAGCTCGCCAGAGCCAGGACCCATCTTTTTATGAATGGACTGTAGAAGGCCGTCTATAAGATTCATTACTTGGAAATTTATTGAAAAGAAAAAGGGACCAAGGAACTACAAGTTACGCTATAATGTCCAATATACACCACCAGGTCCTATTTATTCTCTATAAATTAATCCTTGGCTCTCCATCTGAGTCCATTCTTGCACAGCTGGAAATTTATTATCGACCTTTTTGTTTCCTGCAGTTCCTCAGCGGCCTTGCGTGAACCTAACACTGGCACAAAATTACCGGTCACTGGAGATAACATGGGGTATGACTGATAACAAAGTCAGCGCTAGCTTCTTCAGGATTACTGTTGATCACCGTGGCAACAGTGGCACCTTCAATTACTCTCTAAATGAGGTACATCTGGATGTACGAGTGTGTATGCTATTCTTTGAAAATGAATACTTCAAATCAGGCCGCAGACTTCCCCGAATCCCGAGTGCGTTGCTACAAAATTTGAGAGAACATTGGCAGCAAAGAATGTTGATAAAAACGCAGCACTTTCCCGCCCACGCACTCGCACATACACACACACACACACACACACACACACACACGATTCAGGTTGTGCGTGCTTCCCCTAGCTGCATCTCATGTTTGGCATAAAGTGGTCTTTGTAAAAAAAACACACACACACAAAGTACTTTGGACTATATTGGTCTACACTGAATACCTGTGCAGCACAGCTAGACTGTTTAAAAATCAAATCTGACCTTCCGCAGATGTCTGGGTTCCACTGCTCTTGCTAGTACGCACGGTAGTGGGCCATGGAGTACACACGACTTTCCTCTAATCATCAGCTCAGGTTTCCCTTAATATCACTGTACTACAGCTACACATCGAGGTGTGTGTGTGTGTGCGTGCTTGCGTGTGTGTGCGTGCGTGCGTGCGTGTGCATGTGTGTACATAGCATTACAAAACATGTACATGTATATGTGTTCTGTGAACGTGGTATGTGTTCATGAACATACCGCCTGTCCCTGCAGTCAATGTTAACTTCAAGTGAACAGATCGGGAATGCAAGTCGAATTCTCGTGTGTGATCCCTTAATAAGCTCGGTAGGTGGGCAGTATAGTGCCACGGTATTTTGTATAGCGTTGATGTTTGACATTTTTTAAAGATTTAATCCTCGTAGATAGCATTACGTATTGCTATGTGCATACCATGTATGCAAGTGGGGTATCATCAAGAGATGCGCAGACAACTTTGTAAAACGTGAGACTTTCTAACCTGGCCCTGGTGTATTGAACAAACTAGCATCAGAGCATGTACAGCCTAGCATGTAAAGTTCAGTAATCACAGTCTTTTGGGGTGTAGAGTCGGAAGCTGTAACGCTCCATTTCTACTTTATTCCCAATAGAATCCACGCATCTCCACCAAAATGAGAATAGGGATCCATGCACATCCACCAAAATGAGAAGAGGGCACCACCAACTAAGTAGGAATTTGTTTCAAAATTGTACAATTGAAGCGTCATTTCACATGTACATGTATAGAAGAAACGACACATATGAAACTTTCTGAACCAGCAATCGAATGGTGTTGATCCGAGAGGCTGCAATATACATCACTCATACATTACTTCCAATCAAAGGCAGTTCCAATAATTATAACTTTTTACAGTAGGCGCTATTTGTTGCAGCTGCCGTGTGCTAATGGGAAGTTTATAAAAGTCATTTTGAAATCAGTATCGCTATACATGCTATACTTACACACAAAATGCACAAAGGAGGTTTACGTAGGATGTTTCTGTTTCTTGCACAATGCGACTTGATGCTATACGTATGTAGTTTTTTAGCAGAACTATACTCTTGTGTGCACTGTACTCTGTCTATACTCAGAACTATACTCTTGTGTGCACTGTACTCTGTCTATACTCAGAACTATACTCTTGTGTGCACTGTACTCTGTCTATACTCAGAACTATACTCTTGTGTGCACTGTACTCTGTCTATACTCAGAACTATACTCTTGTGTGCACTGTACTCTGTCTATACTCAGAACTATACTCTTGTGTGCACTGTACTCTGTCTATACTCAGAACTATACTCTTGTTTGCACTGTACTCTGTCTATACTCAGAACTATACTCTTGTGTGCACTGTACTCTGTCTATACTCAGAACTATACTCTTGTGTGCACTGTACTCTGTCTATACTCAGAACTATACTCTTGTGTGCACTGTACTCTGTCTATACTCAGAACTATACTCTTGTGTGCACTGTACTCTGTCTATACTCAGAACTATACTCTTGTGTGCACTGTACTCTGTCTATACTCAGAACTATACTCTTGTGTGCACTGTACTCTGTCTATACTCAGAACTATACTCTTGTGTGCACTGTACTCTGTCTATACTCAGAACTATACTCTTGTGTGCACTGTACTCTGTCTATACTCAGAACTATACTCTTGTGTGCACTGTACTCTGTCTATACTCAGAACTATACTCTTGTGTGCACTGTACTCTGTCTATACTCAGAACTATACTCTTGTGTGCACTGTACTCTGTCTATACTCAGAACTATACTCTTGTGTGCACTGTACTCTGTCTATACTCAGAACTATACTCTTGTGTGCACTGTACTCTGTCTATACTCAGAACTATACTCTTGTGTGCACTGTACTCTGTCTATACTCAGAACTATACTCTTGTGTGCACTGTACTCTGTCTATACTCAGAACTATACTCTTGTGTGCACTGTACTCTGTCTATACTCAGAACTATACTCTTGTGTGCACTGTACTCTGTCTATACTCAGAACTATACTCTTGTGTGCACTGTACTCTGTCTATACTCAGAACTATACTCTTGTGTGCACTGTACTCTGTCTATACTCAGAACTATACTCTTGTGTGCACTGTACTCTGTCTATACTCAGAACTATACTCTTGTGTGCACTGTACTCTGTCTATACTCAGAACTATACTCTTGTGTGCACTGTACTCTGTCTATACTCAGAACTATACTCTTGTGTGCACTGTACTCTGTCTATACTCAGAACTATACTCTTGTGTGCACTGTACTCTGTCTATACTCAGAACTATACTCTTGTGTGCACTGTACTCTGTCTATACTCAGAACTATACTCTGTCCAGGAAATAATGAAGAGCAACTTGTAAATTCCCAGAATTCGCCTAGACAAGGTCCCACCTCATGCTTTACAACTGGTTTTAACAGTCTAGGACCACCCGTAATGCATTAATTCTCTCCTGTCACGGCCTCTATGTCTATCTACCTAAAATCTCCTATTTTCTCTGGATCCAAGCTTTGGTCTAATCTGCCTTCTCATATCAAGGCTTGCACAGAAATCAATGAGTTTATCAACCACTTCTCCCTCATAGACCTAGGCAGCTGATGCACTAAAGTTATTATCAAGGCTTTCAAGGGTGGTTTTCTCTTTCTCTCTCTCTTTTCTCTCCGTCCTCCCTCTTTGTATGTTCCATCCTGCCATGGTTGGCTCTCGCCCTTCATGTCAACTGATTAATTGGCCATCTTTTGACGTGCCAGAAGATGTTGTCTAAATAATAAATAAATGAATACCGTCTCCAGAAATGCTTGGCGACTTGTTTGACATGAAAGACTTCGGCTAAGAACGAAAATCTATATCTTTTGTCATTGGAATGAAAACATCTATCACCAAATTTTACTTTTGGTTTCCTGTGACGTATGTCCCATTGTTCTGCCCAGTTTAAGATCACCAGGGACCTCAACGTGCAAGTTCTTCCAAACGAACGCATTCATGTAACTGTAAGCGGCAATTACTGTGCTTTTCTGTTAGTCTTCCATAACCAGTAGTCATCTTCAGCGACTCTAGCCTTTACCGGACATTATGTTCTCTGTGTGTGAATGATGAATTTTACGAGTGGATGCTAGAGTGCGCTATCTGATTGTATTCATGTACTTTGGTGCAGGTTATGCCAATGTTTAAGAGGAGTGACCAGACCGTAGTTGAAGGCGAGGGGGCAGGGGTAGCATCTGTAATCCGGCCTCCGCTGCCTACAGATCCACCTGTGCCTAATGATAAAAGTAGCAGCTCTGGAACTATCCCAGGTAAGGAACTATTTAAAAACTCTCTGATTTGGGCAACTTCTCAGTAGGCTGGCTTGTCCCTGTGTTAAGTAAGGTTGCACCACGCAAAACGGCAAGAGGACGATAGTCGGGGCAATCGTTCTCGTTAGAAGCCATAACCTACATGTATGGGTAAATGGAGTCACTTGACTGTAGGTTCCATTCAGGGATAGAGACACGGGAGCTATGTGCATGGGATCAAATACATCAGGCACAACGGAGGTTTGTAGAGTTTGTTGGTGAGGATCACTAGGGTATAGGGCGCATGCAGCAGAAGGAACACAGAGGAAGTTAGATGCAAGGGCCACTAGACATGGAAGTGCTGTGTGCATGGAGGGAGCAGAATGGGCGAGGAGCACTATATGCACTTTTTTGCATGTACTAATACTGTCGTGGACATGAAAATCCAGTCGATTGACTGGGACCGGCGCCCTCAGCGCGTACAGAACGCTGCATGCAGTGCACGCTCATGTTGATCCAAAGCGTGCAGCACGCTGCCGTGCATAAATTCATGTGTGTACTGCTTGCTTACCCACGGCTGCATGGCCAGCGCCCTGGGGCTGCTAGACGTGCGACCGGATTTCCATGCCCACGACAGTAGTTGGATTTCACTGATGTGTCTGCTCTAGGGATTATCGGTGGATTACTCGGTGCCTGTCTTCTCCTGCTCGGCATTCTACTGGCTTTTCGTATCCGGGCATATCTGCTTGAGAGAGGTATGTGTAACCTAGCCTATGTACTCATCCTCATCCTATGTACATATCTCTCCTTCTCTGTCTACGTCTCTTGGCAACATTTCAGTTCCCGTTCCTTCTCAATCTTCAGTATGTACCTGTTCATAATGTTGTAATCAACCTTCTTTCTTTCTGCTGAATGTGTGTGTGTGTATGCGCGCACACGCGCGCGTGTGTGTGTGTGTGTGTGTATGCATTGCCTCCCCTCTCTCTCCCCTCCCCCTTTGCCACTTTTGACTTGGGCAGGGAAATGTAGCTGGCTGAATTTCTAGATGTAAAGTAGAGTCTGAAATTCGAACCTGGTGTCATATACTTCAGTATTAATTTTTCATGCTGAACTATGGCGTCAGTGAGCTGGCTACTATGTGATTAGGTGTTATAAGATGTTGCGGCAAACTGGCGTTTAGCATTGTCTCCCCCTTTGCCACTTTTGACTTGGGCAGGGAAATGTAGCTGGCTGAATTTCTAGATGTAAAGTAGAGTCTGAAATTCGAACCTGGTGTCATATACTTCAGTATTAATTTTTCATGCTGAACTATGGCGTCAGTGAGCTGGCTACTATGTGATTAGGTGTTATAAGATGTTGCGGCAAACTGGCGTTTAGCATTGTGCCTCCATGTGTATAAGTTGTATGGACATACAACTGCATAGCTGCTTTGCGTGCCTCTACTGATCTATTCAGTATCCAGCTACATGTACGCCACTGAAATTCCTGGCAAGCACTCATCCATGTTGTGTGGAGAATGTTCCAGATTTGAAAATTGTGTTATGCTATATATAAGCATCATAACTGAAGTCAAAGCTATGCTCAACTTATCATAATGATCTTGGAGATCTGGAAATCTTGGAGTGTCTTTCCCTCAAACCAGTGGATCTTGGAGAATTTGTGAATTGAAGGAAAACACTACGGACATTGAAGTAGTGACTTCAGCAGTACTAATAGACAAAGTAGGCCGCTCCTACATGTAGCACTCGTTTCCTGCCAAAATACTTGACACTTGACTGACTCACGACTGCCAGCTGGAGCATGTTGAACCATGCGCTCTGCAAGTCTGGAATAAACCACCACTTCCTGCTGAAAACACAGTTAGTTAATTCTGTGCTCCAAAAGCACTACAGTTTTGCAGCGCCACGACAACCGATACATCACTAGGGGTACAGACTTACAGTGCTAGTGTGACTGTGCTAGATGAGATGCCACATTCAGCAGTGTGCAACTGTGCGCCTTTGCAAACTTGGGAACTGAGCAGGATAGAACAGCTCATGTAATGAAAAGATAACTATCACTCTCATCACATGAGAACATGACAAAACAACGGACACAATACCGGAGTGACTGGAAGGAAACGCTCTTGTCAGCAATAAGAATAAAAAAAATTAAAGCGAAGGACAGCTGCAGCCTTATGCCCAGGGGAAATTTTATCGAAACGTATTTTATCACAATGAATATAACAAAGGCGCACCAACAACAAGGATCATGGCATTGTTCTAATATAATTATTTATTCTTTTTATAACATTTCAAAGCCTTCTCATAGAATGATGTACGTTTTAGGAACAATCGTGAATAATAACCGCACAGTGAATAATAACCGCACAGTGTACAACAGTGGAACAAGGCTAGTATGTTGAAAGTCCGAGTTTCATGCTCAGATCATTGCAATCGTCAGGCAGCATAAAGATGCTGCTGGCTACGCCAGTATAACTGGCATGAATATTATAATATGCAATAAAAAGATGCAAAGGTGTGAGTGGTTTTCGGTGTGGTGCTATGCTTTAGGTCTTAGGCTGGTAGTATGCGTGGCACTGAAATCATAAGCAGTGTGAAAAGCTGTGCACATGCATGTGGGACTGTGTTAGTTCCAGGCCCGCTGTCAGTGTCCTATTAGCACAGAGTGTGTGGGTTGCTGGTGCAGTCAGGAGGCTGTGGTGACAAAGTCAGGTGATGCCACTGGCTGCATCCTCCTGTCACGGAATGACAACCATACGTACAGTGAAACCTGTCTAAGACGACTGCTCAAGGGACCTTCGAAACGTGGTCTTTGTTACCAGGTGGTCTCCGTATCCAGGGTTGTTTGACTGGAAAGATCATCCCTTGATTCTAGTTCCAGTGGTCTTGTAGGACAGGTGGTCGCCTTATCCGAGTGGTCGCCTTGGCAGGTTTCACTGTACATGTTTCAGTGCAATAGGTGAAAGATTTAGTATATAAGTGAGAAGTTAATGTAAACAACTAAGGCGCTAGGTACTCCGTCTCAATATCTAGCACCTTCGTTGTTTACATTAACTTCTGGATACAATAGTAATATTTTCTATCACCTATTTCACTTGTGGCTATAGTTGATAAATATGGTGGTAAAGACACACCTGGCAATATGGCAGTAAACACACGCCTGCCCACACACGCTCTCTAGGCTGCAAAGTTCTGGCATAGAGCTCTCCTTCTCACCACCACCACCATCAGTTCGTGCCTGACGCCTGGTCGATGCATGGCTGGCGGTATCCGGCATAGCAGGCTGGTACATCAAGTAGCGCATGGCACATAGATGATGACACAGCAACGACATAGCTCGATTGCGATAGTTGCTAAGTTATTCACTATTGTTCACTTGCCTGTACTTCCTTTCAGACTTACAAGAAGGCTTTGAAAATGTTGAGGAGCAAATACCTTTTAACCGTCCTTGTTGTTGGTGTGCCTCTTGCAATATTCATTGTGACCATTTGTTTTTGATCTCCTCGTAAACTGCAGAATTTGTCATTTTTCTCCCTACACTCAACCAGCAAGAAATGAGCATCATGACTCCAGCCTAAATTTAGAGAGTCACTTGCTTAGTATCTTAGTATCGAACCCAGTCTTAATTCACCTTAGATGATAAGTCATAAAACGTTTTCCCCACCCATTAATTAAAGGCTTTCTGATTTTCCATCTATCTTGACACATGTCTATCTGTTTGTCTCTCTATTTGTCTTCCTCGATGCAGCACGGCAACCTATCAATGTATTGAAAAGGGCAAAGAAGACGATACTCATGACGCTGGATGACTTGGAAGTAGTTGCAGAATCTTTGGTGCAGAACATGGTCATTCAGATTCTATCGAAAGAGTATCGGGCATTTTATGATGCCACATGCAGAGAAGACCAGCTAGACTGCCTTGTTGATGTAAGTACCGCTTGAACTACCTGTATAATTTACTGCGGACGTACAGTCTGAAGAAGACACGTGTGCCGCTACACTACCCTAGCATAGGTGTACTGGATGCAAACGGCATTGTGGCATGATCTAAGACCATCCATTAGCAGCAGAAGTATCATCAGTGGTTATTGTCAACTCCGGTGTTGCTACGTGCGAGTCTTCTCTACTACATCTCCTCTCCTCGCTCCTTGTGATTGGTTTGGGGTGACTCAATTGACATCTTCAGTGGCTTACGCGGAACCCTGTCCTGCTTCTTCGCGATCGTGATCACATTCACCTAGGCTGGTCCCACCATTGTGCCCGTAGAATACTAGGGAAGCGAGGAAAGAGTGTAACTCATATGTTAGTCCACAGGAATCCAATGAATGATTTATGTAGGGTCCCTGAGATCAGGTGCAGCAGAAACCAGTCTTTGTGCAAATGTCTATGTCATGCCCGGAGTCGCAGAGTCTCTTGGTCAGTCCTGTTTTCATGATGTGGCCGATGGTCTCTGTCTCTCCCCCTCATTGTTTCCCCAATACCACTGTCTTCCCCCACCTATGTCTTCCTTGGTGTGAGTGCTGTCAAAGGCGATTTATAGTAGTTCAATACTTGAAATACTGTCAGGATTATTACGTCTTGAGGGGGGCATGTGACCTGTTTCTTTTTGTTAAACTTCGCCTCCTGTGCCTAATAGTGTCCATTCTCTTCTGCTTTGTATTGTTTCCTTCCCCTTGTCAAGGTGGTTCCCTGCAGGGGTGAACCTGCTTTCGGGTATCTTCTCTATGCCTTCCGTAAATCTGGATATGAGAACCTCGCAAAAAGTCTCTTCTTCCAGGTTACCGAAGATGTGCAAGAACGAATACGGCCAATAGTATTTCCTCCGCCACCGTCCCCAGCTCCACGGCCGCCACCAAGTTACGACTGTCCACAAGTGTACATCTCCTACTCGCGTTACAACAGGGACGAGGCTCTGAAAGACGTGTACCATTTATGCGGTATGCTTGAGTCATGCTGTGTTGATGTTGTAATTGATGAGGATCATATGACTGATATGGCTGATAATGTTCCACAGTGGATTTCTGAGCAGGTGGCCAAAGTGCAATTCGTCATTGTTGTTCTCGACCACACGTATCCGTTGAACCTGTCAACGCATGTGCAACAGGACATAGAGTACTACACGGACGACCAGGGCTATAGTCGTGCGCGCCTCGAGAGTCACTATCTACAGGGAGAGACGTACTGGGGCCGGCGCAACTTCATCATCCCGGTACAGTTTGGAACGCTTCACAGTGGTCATGGTAACGATGTACCCATGCTGCTGCGTGGTAAGACACGTTATCACCTTCCACACCTATTCCTGCTCGATGATGAGCAGTTTCAGTTGATGGTCAGACGTATCCTGGGTGAACATCTGCACAAGTATGTGACTGATCATTTTGCACAGCCCACCTATGCGGCAGGCTACCCGCAACAGGACACTAGCGATTTGTAGCCGTGCACAGCAGTATTTAGGCACAACTCGACCATCACAATCATTGAATTTATCCTCAATCATATCACATGCAGAACTTGAGCTTTGACTTCTTGCCGGTAATAGTTCTTCCGAGGTCTAGCCTATACATGCAATACATCTATTCATCCCCCCCCCCCTTGAGTTCTGCTACCACTGTCATGCCCCCCCCCCTTCAAAGCCACCCCCCCCCCCCCTTGCAAAGCCACCCCCTCCCCTACAAAGCCCCCCCCCCCATTGCAACCCCCCCCCCTTGAGTCCTGCTACCACTGTCATGCCCCCCCCCTTGCAAAGCCACCCCCCCCCCTTCAAAGCCACCTCCCCCCTTGCAAAGCCACCCCCCCCCCCCCCATTGCAAACTGCCACTATTATTATTGGCATTAGCAGTCACAACTTGAGCTTACAGTGGTTTATCAATACCACTGGACAACGTTCAGCGCATTAAATTAAACATTGTGATCTTGAGCAGTACAGTGATCTGTATTTTCTCTGCGTCAGACCGAATCATGGTTTGGACAGGTGCAGACCCACTGAAATTCTCTACCAGCCTATCCAGCGTACATTGGAGCAGCATGTGGGCTTCAACACACACCGTTTCAGTGTGCTCATGGTGGTTTGGATAACTAAAGCAAGCGGCATCCTTCAAAGAATGTTTACTCTGCGTGCAAATAATTATTGTTCAACTATGGGATGCATACAAGCCTGCAGACGAGACTGCGGTGCGCCTGGCACAAGGCCCAAGGACGAGTCTGAATTCTCTTTTCCATTGTCTATGGGTTCTTCACCTAGATTATGCTTGCATTTCGTGATCACAATGTTATTCATTGCTAATGATGATGGACTAGTAATTATTTGCACACTTCAAAAAGTTGCTGGGTGGGGGGGGGGGGGCTTGCAACGAGGAATTCCGGTTTTGAGGACATTTACGGAATGTTCAAAACACCCTCTACATGTACCACTACTACTGGCACTAGAGTCTAGAGACTAGTAGAGTAGTTGAAGGACTTAGAATGTTTAGCTTAGTTTAGTGCTTCACGATTGTAGTGATAATCGCAAAACAGGCTGTAGTCTTTTTTTGTGTTTTGAAAATGCGATGATACACGCAGTAACTGACGGCAACTACGTCGACTAGGCACGGTAACTGGCGTAGCCTGTGGATCGTGGAGAAGGCCCTAGGCCTGAACTATGTTACTTACTGGCTGAAGTGAAGCGAAGGGGAGTGCCAGGGACACCTTGCGAGCCTACCCGCGCCGTACACAATGGTACACTTACAGGTGATAGAAGAATGTTTGCAGAGGTTGTCACTGTCAGCCACTGTGCGAGGCCTGAGCATAAGAATCATTGTGTTTATGACGCGTGCAAATCGTGTAAGATCACAAGATGAGACGGTGTAAAGATGCACGGCTTCGGGTGGTCCATATGCAAACGATGTGTTGTGAGTGTCTTGCTGCTGATGAACTGTGACGGCGTCATTGGTTTGATGGAAAGTTTCCTTTTCCCAATGCCGGTAATACTTGTTGCGTGCTTCTGGCTGCCTGGCTGGATATGGAAGCCGCGTGAATCGCTAGTTGACTTATTTCATCCATGGCCCGTCATAAAGAGAACGAACGTCGTAACGACATCTGTCATTCATTTTAGTTAGAGTGATACTGATAAGCCACCGTCAGGCATGCGAGTAGTCATACTCATAGGCAGTACCTTGGTCTTGGTCAACAAATCCTCTCTTTAGCTGCCATTAGGCTAGCCTCCGAACATGTTGATCCTGCCTGGAAGCAGGTGAGTGAAATAAAACGAATTATTATGATTGCTACGTTTTCAGCAAACACTGCACCTAGCCACTTACTGTACTGTATTTTTGCACAAGAATCATGTGTGTTTCGGGCACTGGTGATATCAGAATTTAGGCAATCCACAATCGGATTAATCACTAAATCAGGGATTTGCTCTAGAGATATTCTGCGTAGTAATATTATCAAATAGAATGAAAAAAGAAAACAAGAAAAGGGGGTAAAGGTATAGTTTAGGGTCCCAAATTATTTTAGTGGGTCAGCATGCTCTACAGAGTCCCAGGCATGCACACTACACATAGCCATAGGCCTTGGCCACAACTGACATCGAATACGATGTGGATGGACAACCACTGGTGTATGCAAAATCACCTTACGATGCGAACGAACACGGCGCAAAGGACCATGAAAATCGCCTGAGTTTGAAGCTCGGTGATGCCGTGCGTGTCTTGAACACCTCCATGGGCAAGGGATGGTGGTGGGTAGAAGTCAAAATATTCGTCGTTCTGCCAGGAGGCTTCCTCCGCGCCGCGCAGGTCATCCTCAGTGCCAAGGAATGATGATGGAACGTAGCCAGACTCGCCATCGACTTCTACCCACCACCATCCCTTGCCCATGGAGGTCACGGTTCAAGACACGCACGGCATCACCGAGCTTCAAACTCAGGCTATTTTCATGGTCCTTTGCGCCGTCTTCGTTCGCATCGTAAGGTGATTTTGCATACACCAGTGGTTGTCCATCCACATCGTATTCGATGTCAGCTGTGGCCAAGGCCTATGGCTATGTGTAATGTGCATGCCTGGGACTCTGTAGAGCATGCTGACCCACTAAAATAATTTGGGACCCTAAACTATACCTTTACCGAAAAGGGGACCCACGCCGCCATGGATACGAGTTGAGAGTAACGGTCCACCACTGTAACGAGAAATAGCTCCCGATAAAACAGGGTGTACAGTGAAGTACATGATTTGTATGCGCATGCACTACAGCAAGCGCTGAATTCACTAGCGACAGTAAAAAATCCCATTGAAAGAAGGGTGAGCTTAGCAAGGGAAAGGATTGGACCATGGTGACCGTTGCTGACCATAGTCAATTAGTAGTGGTGTGAGCACTTCTGGCCAAAAAAACGAATGTCCGTGGTTAAGTTCCCGGTGGGCATCCAGTCAAGATTTTTCTTGTCACATTCTCCATTCCTACTCTCCATCATCCAGCTACAGATATTCAATGCGTTGAACTGTTTGGAGATACGTCGACAGCTAAATCTATGTTGTTACACATTGTCTCTTCTTCTCAGGCTGGCAACACGTCAATGGCAGTTGATGTTGGGGATGCTGGTTTTTACTATGTTGCACCGTGAGCTGCTTGTCACCACCTCTGCGTGCAAATGTGATCAGTCTAAACACTCATTCGCCATGGCATGGGAAAGCCATCAGGACCACCACATGGGTATGTTGATAGATCCAATGTCAATTCAACTGATTTCATAATACAGGCATGTTGGTACTCGTGTGTGTGGTCAGTGCTGAAATTGAGTAAACTTGCCCACTACCTCTGAGGATCGTTCAAATGCTGGATATGCCCATGCTCTGTCCACTGATGGATGTGTTATTGTCAACAGCGTACTTGGCTATAATAATAATAATAGTTACAGTTCGCATGTCACTCATGGAAGGATCCATGGGCTTAACGCATCTGTCAACGAAATCCAGGCAGAAGAGCCGACAAAAGGCATCTCATTATTGTTAGAACGTATCGCAGTAAGAACAACTACGCAAGCGCAGCACATTTTCCACAAGCATCAATACTTGGCTATATGTTAAACAAAATTTCTTCTGTACTGTAGTAGAAATCTAAGTGGACGATGTGGTATCTGTACTCGCATGTTTAAATACCACATCAAATGATGACTCACAGGTACAATTACCACAGACGGAACAATACTAATAATACTTTGGAGACATGCATACCGCTTGATGCTGCAGAGCGCGTGGACACAGTACCATCCACTTTAACCGGGATCAGGCTTCACTGACCCCAATTGTAGTTACATGTAGCGGGTATGGATCGCAAGCGTATGGAAATGGATGAGAGGGTTTCAGCAGGAATATGAATATCTGCTTGGCCCGGTACATTAGGTTAACCTGAATATGTTTTAAACGTTTTCAGAACACATGTTCTGTACTGTGCACAGGGCGGTTAGTATTTCCAGATTGTGGAAATGACTGCGCACCTACATGTGAAAGACTGGCGGAGAATGCTACATCTTGTCGTGACTTCAAAGCACCCGGTCCACCAGTTCTTGATACAAAGGGCAGCATCCGTTTTGAAGTTGCCAAACCGCTAAGCCGACCAAGCTCGTTCACAATCTCCTGGTGCTGCACTGAGCGTAAGAAATGCACTTTTGCACACTTTCCATGCCGCGTTTCTGCACTTTTGCACATTTCCATGCCCCGTTTCTGCACCTTTGCACACTTTCCATGCCCTATTTCTGCACATTTGCACACTTTCCATGCCCCGTTTCTGGACCATTGCACACTTTCCATGCCCTGTTTCTGCACCATCGCACACTTTCCATGGCCCGTCCCTCTTGCTTGCCTGGCTGAATTTCTCCTTGGAGGTTAGTGTTGAACTTTTCTTTGTGATGTGAAGTTATTAAGATAGTCACCAGACCAACTGCAAACGTTTTCGAGTCTGTCAACTGGCCATGTCACTCACTGACATTTAAATCTCTCTGTGTAGTCTGGACTGTAAAAGAATACACTACAGTGCATGTTTCTGTGGCTCGATGACCAGTTGAGACCTCTCTCCACGTCCTGTCTCCCTGGTAACCCTGGTAACCCTGGGATTATTGTATGTCAGAGTAAAACAAGTACTGTTGTGTGTTCCTCTTGTGTTCTATCAGGTCACTCGTCCAGTGTGGCTGGTTTTCGTGTGAAGATAATCGACACCAACACAAGCACAACACTGGATGTTTATGATGTGCCTAACCGATTTGAATGCGGAAGATTTCACCTGAGACCAGGAGCATCGATTAGCTCATGTTACTGCGGCTCCAATTGCTTTGAATGTGTCACTAGCCGTGCGCTAACAACCCGCTCAAATGGCCTGTTTTACATCAAGCCCAATTCTAAATGGAATGTGACTCTTCAGGTAAGTGCAGGCCCAGGCATGCACTTACTGCAAAACCACTGTAACAAAAGGAATCCTGTATTGACCTGACACATTTTCATACACGGACGTACAGGGGATCGAACTTGCATCCCTGGATCAAGCGAAATCCTGTCATATCAGGACAGTTGATGCTCCGGCGGTGGGTGTCCGGTTACGGCGGTCAGTGCATGTTTTACTCTACTTTGACACTATAGAAAGGGGTGGCAAGTATCTGCTTCAGTACTCTTGCTGTATCGTGATGCGCTGTCATAGTGACCAGGCCTCCTTTGGGCCGGGTTCCACTGCGGCTCCGCTGCTCCGCGGCACTTGGCTGCATGCAGCGGAGCAGCGCGGTTCCACTGACACTCGCCATTCGCGGTACCGCGGTCGTGGTCCACACTTTTTGATGACGTTTCACCTGCCTGCGCGCGAAATCAAAAAATCCTCATGTTCTGGCCTGCGCAACGAATTAAATTTTGAATTTTAAAATTCTGGCGTACAAAACAATGCAAAGTACGGGAAACAGGTCGAGCCGCGACCGCGGCTCGCATGTTTTGGTCAAGAATCGCAGTGAAAGCTCGCGGTGAGCCGCGGCCTCGCTGCTCCAGCTTGAGCCGCGGTCACAATGGTAATGATGACGTGTCAAGCCGCGAAAGACGAGCAGCGGAGCCGCAGTGGAACCCGGCCCTTAGAGTATTTGATACGGCTGGTGCACGAGTAGCGTTCAAGGACTCACCTGGATAAATGGAAGTTTACACGCCTGTCTGCACAAGCTCTCTAAGCAAAAATAGCATAAAAATGTATTTTCGTCTACAGTCCATTCACAAAAAGATGGGCTCTGGCGAGCTCCCGTATTAGGCGATTTTTCAAGATTTTATCGTACACAGTGCAGTGCTGTGAAATTTGAAATTTGAAAAAGGGTCCAAAACGGGTACCTGAACTGGGGTTCGAACCGTACAATGCACTGTTGCAGGCAGGGTCAAACGGCCTGGATTTTGATGGGTTTTCCCAATTCAGTGCTCTTGGGGCAAAACCTGGCCGAAATCCTATTCTTGCTATGGCTTGCTTTTTGGAGAAATAGACTTCAGAAACATAATTGGAAGAGGATTCCATAGGGGATTGCAGAAAAAAATTCTAAAAAAACTCAACGTTTGACCCATTTATGGCCAAAAGCTAGAAGTCCATCTTTTTCTGAATGGACTGTAGCTGGGCTTCTGTTCAGCACTGCAAGTCTATATCTCCTGCATGCAAGAGAGAAGTATAGCTGACAAGCAGCTTGCAGAAAGCACTCATTGCTCTCTATATTTTTTCTGTTATTTCTGTCACAGGTTCTGAGTTTACCATTGGCTGACAACACGACTGACAGTTTAGATAGTGATCAGGGAGCTTTACAACACATCCAAGTGGACAGTAAGTTGCTGTTGCCTGTGACTCGGCTATCTGCCATTGGTGGCAATATGAGTAGGGGAGATGTATCTGGTAGTCCACTCGAAAACAGTTTCTTGTCAGTATGAATAGTGTCTGGGTTATGCCTAGTGTAGCTGGTACATGACAACACCTGTGTCGGCTGTGCATGAAGGTGCTTGCCTTTCCAGTAGTGAAATTGCAGCGACGGAATTATTCGAGAATGCTACCCTGTTCAATTGTGATTTGGTGCATTCCTTTGACAGCTGGTTAATGGTAGAACCCGTGAACCCACATGCATCTTGTTCCATCTTCTTTATTGCGGAATGAATTGTATCTGGATTTTGAAAGCATCTTTTTACCCTCTATCTCCTGTGTGTGTGTAGGCTGCCGTGATCTTGGATGCAATGTCACAGATATAGCAGACCCTGATGGTATGTTGACAAATGGGAATAGAATTTCTAATTGATTTAAAGTGTGTATGATTCACCAAACACAAGGACAATATCAACTTCTCAACTGATTCGGTCAAGCATTGTGCTGCATTGCCTTTGTTTTCTGTCAGTAGCACAATAAGTCACATGATAGCAGTGTAGAGTGGGGTCAAGCCTCCAGAGGGTTATTTGATTCAACATTGATATCACAGTGCCTTCGTGATCAGGGAAGAATGGTCGGGGTCTTGTTGTAGGTTTTATTCCCTGCATTTATTGGGATTTTTCAATTTTCACTTTCTGTCCAATATGATTATACGCAGGTCCCTGTGGTGGTCAGAGTCCTGCTACCCTAACTCAAGTATGCTTCTGTGGTAAGAACATTGATAATATGCCAGTCACAGCAGTTCTATCCTATTTCCGAATGAGACACATCTGATGCTTTTGTGCATGTAGCTCGGTGTCTTTAAAAACAAAAAGAGTAAATTATCGTGTCCGTTCCCGAAGGGAACTCACGACGGCCGCTAACACCCGATAAACTCTAGCGGCAGATGCAGCGCCTAACGGTGGGGGTGAGTGGGTAAGTCTCACAACCACTGGCACAAGTGCCGAAAACGACCCCATTAGCTGCATCCATGTACCCCTTGTGCCTGGCCACAAGTTCCCAGTTGACTGTGGGTAGCAGCACGGCTGGAAAAACCGCTGCATTGGTGTCTTTCAAGGTACTATAATTAGTATGACTCTTGAAAAAGGGTTCCCGATAGATAATAATAAATAATAATAATAATAATAATATCTTTATTAGGATGACCCAGAGGCTTGTCGCCTATCAAGGGGTTCACCGCTTAGATCAATCTATGTCCCCGGATTTCAAGGGACATAGATTTATAGGGAGTTGATGTCAGTATGCATGTTGCTAAAACATTCATGGAGCCGTATTCCGTATTCATTGGGCATAAGTGAGTGTCTCCTCCCCCACCTGGTACCATCTTATGATCTAAAAATCATAAATGACTGCAGTTTTTACCCCGCCCTGTTTTTGTTGTTTATATTTAGTGCCTATGAAGCCGTGCATATTTCCACTGGACGTTGACGTGAATGACACCGAGTTAAGCTTGTCGTGGACAACACAGGATCCGCATGTCTCCGCGACATTCTTCAATGTCCTGGTTCGATCAGGAAACGCGACTGGGAACAGTACTCACCTTGCCAGTGACGTAAGCAAACTTTGGCACGTGTGATGCCATTAATTAACTTGCATTCGGCTGCAACTTATTTCCTTGTCAACGTCATTGCAGTAACCATTGTGACAGAAACTTTCAAACTATGGTCTGCAGCCTGCAGGGCTTGAGCTTACACATGCTAACCGGATCCATTGGTTGAATTATTATTATTATACACTTGCTATTCACTACTTTGCTCTGCTCAGCTTCAGCTGCCACAAACCTCTGGACGCCTTCTATGTGTAAGTGGATTGAAAATTTGTAAAACATTTAGCCTTCATGCAAGAAACTAACTCTCCTCCTCCATGCGCTCTAAAGCCAACCATTGCTACCCTCGGTAGCCATTACTCACACCAATAACTTCAAACAACGAAGGGGTCACGGGTAACACATTTCCTTCTGACAGCTGTTTCGCCTATCAAAGGCAAGGAAATGTTTTACCCGTGACCCCTTCGTTGTTTGAAATTATTGGTGTGAGTAATGGCTACCGAGGGTAGCAATGGTCGGCTTTAGAGCGCATGGAGGAGGAGAGTTAGTTTCTTGTATTAATCAACAGCCGAAAGGTACCGTTCAACAGTTTATTGATATTTAGCCTTCATCCGCATAGTATTCAGTTAAATCACAATTGTTTTGACTTTAATATCCTGCAAAATAAGTCATTTGTTATCCAAGCATCCAAGCAGCAATGATTGCTGCTTGGATAACAAATATAGAGTAGTGGATTATTGCAAAGATAATTGGTAGTCTAGACTACCTCTCCTCAGTACAGAACAAAATACACTTACGAATCTGAGTGGTCATGGCTGATGCAGGTAAAGAGACTGCTGGCCTATGCATTGGTGTATGGTTGCGTGCGTTGCCTGCAACGGGACCATGTAGCGATGAATGCAATTTGATGGGTTGAAAACTTCAGGTGAGTTTTGTATTGTCAGCACAATACACTATTCTAGATCCTTGATCTGAAAGAGTCTGGTATTCTTGAACAGAAAGAGTCTAGTAGGTTATGGAATTCTCTGCTCTGTATTTGCACAGGACACTGGAAGTGCTCCCACTTCTCCTACATATGTGAGTCACATATGGTCAATGTTGGCTCACGCGGCCATGATTATTTATAATACTGAAGGCCATTACACCAGACAGTATTTTGACCGATATGGTTGACTGTGGATTGGAAATGTGAGGAGACATTTCGTTTTTTGTTAAATTTTTTCTTGCCATAAACATTTGCAAACTAATACAGATAAGTACATATAGCCTGAAAATGAAGTGTACAATATCGCTGCTAAGATCTTTCCCCTCACATTGGTACACAGTACTGTTATCTCTTATCTGCTTATCTTTGTTGCCAGTTTCAACTGCTCGGCTCCAGTATATCACAAGTACAAGCCGGTGATCTCATAGCTGTCACGGTGAGTTTACTCTGCTCTCCGGTGTACCCAATCGTGTTGTGAAGGCTGATCGAAGGAGTGTGTGCACTTTGACCGACCAAGTGTAGGGAAACAAATCCGCCCACACATGAGCAGATCAGGCCAGTATTGAGGCACATGCAGATGTGCTCGTATGTGAGTGTCGAAAATTTCTCAAAATGGATGAAAAGCTTGGAATACTGTGAAACCCTTGCCCCCGCCCCCCCCCCCCCCCCCACACACACACACGCACACACACCGCTTTTTTATGTGGATGTACACCATCTGGGTAGGTTAGTCTGCCAGTAAAACAGAGCTGGTATCAACTTAAGTCTTTGTTCTCTGTGCAGAGTGGAGTTGTTGTTTTGACTGAACCATACTTTGACATAATGTCACTGATCTAACCATTCTGTGTTCTTTGTTCGTACTTGTATGTGAGTGTCGAAACTAACCATTCTGTGTTCTTTGTTCCTACCTGTACAGATAACACCAGTGGTGACCAACCAGTATGGTAACTATTCAGGTGAAGCAGCACATTTGGAATACAGGATTTCATCAGCAGAGGCACCCACACTTAACAACAACGATGTCTCCTTGGAAGAGGAGGCAGATGATGGGCCAAAGCTCAGTGTCACCGGAACCATAACAAGTATGTATGTGTGTGTGTGTGTGTGTGTGTGTGTGTGTGTGTGTGTGTGTGTGTGTGTGTGTGTGTGTGTGTGTGGGTGTGTGTGTGTGTGTGTGTGTGTGTGTGTGTGTGTGTGTATGTGTATGTATGTGTGTAAAATGAAAAAATAGGGATTCACTGTCCAGACAAAAGCCACTTCAACCAGCCGTGTGGTGTACATGTAAACCAGGCTAAAAAAGGTGGTGGTCAATTCATCATCCTTGCAAGTTGTTCGAATGGTGTAGCCCCAGAACAAGTTGCTATGTCTAACATAGCTTGCTCGCTATCGTCGCTTCAGCAATGGGCAGAAGTGTGAGTAGGAGTGTGTGTGTGAGTGTGTGTGCGTGTGTGTGTGTGTATGTGTGTACATGCGCATGCGTGTGTGCGTGTGCTCTTGTGCTTCCTCCTAACTCAGCTTGTATTGGGCTGTTGGGATTGTCTTCATAATTATGTAAAATGAGTTGGCAATCATAAAGGCACCCATATTAATGTGAGCTAAGATGCCCTTTCACCTCAATATGTCTCTGCCAGTGACAATGGCAGTGGAAATATTTTGAAGGATGCAGGGAGGGGGGGGGGGGGGGAGGAGATAACATATTTTTCATTCATGATTCCCGTATACTGTATAATTATGTGTTCCATAGTTCGCTCAGTTATGTATTTCCGTTCATTTTTTGTTTTGCTTTTTGTTTCCACTAACAGCCATCGGTATTATACTTGTTTTGGAGATAGAGGGGACTGTCTGCCGTCGACGCTGTCACTGCTGAATTTATTTCTTGGAATGTATGTTTGCTGTATGTGTGCACATGCATGTGTTTGTGTGTGCGTGTGTGTGTGTGCGTGTGTGTGTACGTATGTGTGTGTGTGTGTGTGTGTGTGTGTGTGTGTGTGTGTGTGTGTGTGTGTGTGTGTGTGTGTGTGTGTGTGTGTGTGTGTGTGTGTGTGTGTGTGTGTGCACAGTAAGCATCATGGCACTATCAGTGATTACACTCGGTCTCGTGCTATGTCTGGTGAGAAGGCGATATCAGGAACGGCAAAGAGACCAAGGTATATAGGAAAGAAGAAAGGCAGAGTGTGTTGCACAATATCTGCATTCATGTCACCAAGTCGTTGTGATGCCTTAGAACTCTGATGCCGCAGTCTTGTGGTCAGTAATACACTCGTGGTTATGTGGTCTCAGGATAGATTGTGTTCCATCAAAACTAACTCCACGTGTTGAAATTCATGCTGCATGTGTCCAATGGGCACAGCAATTGCTGCAGCCATTTGGCTAGGGGTGAAATGAGTATACCGACTCCTCAAGTACGTGCTCGAAATATATTTTTGCGAGCGAGTAATGGTTCGGACAAGAGTACATTCTACCAGATTGAGAGAGAAAAACATGTCGCGGTATCTGTCCAATTTTTTGTGAGGTTTTGCTCTTGGTGAGATTCATTCTGTATGAGCCATTTCAGCAGCTTCCTATTCTAAACTGCTTTTGAGTACTCTTTTCCGAACGACTACTCGCTTGAAAAATGATACTTCAAGCACGTACTCGAGGAACCAATCTGGTAGAATGTTCTATTGTCTAGCATACTGTTCTATTATCTACAGAGGCAATATGCTTTGGTTCTGCAAGAGTGCTCAATGCCTGATTCAGGCAGAGCGGCGTACACAAAGGCAAACAATGAAAACCTTGGCAAATTAATTCCGTTGTCACAACGGAATTAATTTGCCAAGGTTTTCATTGTGTGCCTTTGTGTTCTATTATCTAGCATACTGTCCTATTATCTAGCATACTGTTCTATTATCTAGCATACTGTCCTTTTATCTAGCATACTGTTCTATTATCTAGCATACTGTTCTATTATCTAGCATACTGTTCTATTATCTAGCATACTGTTCTATTATCTAGAATACTGATTACTGTCCTATTATCTAGCTTATTGCCTCACAATCACTGTACATGCACATCTGCCCTTTTCTATGGCTCAGAAACTGATACTTGTATGGTTGTTTACTTGGACGAGATTGTGGGTTCAGCTCTGGTGTGTTGCTGTACTGTGTGTGGTTTTATGCTATGCATTTATGTGTGCTGTTGTTTGTTGTACACTGCTCGTCCTGCTTCAGCTAAGATGCCTATCAGTGTATTGCAACGTGAGAAACAGCAGATCACGGACACAGTGTCCAACTTTGAGCTGATCAGAGAGTGCTTCATTCAGACTGGAGTTACGCCTGTCATGTCCAAGGAGTATGAGCTGCTCTATGAATCTGCAGATGGCTCACAGATACTGATGAATTTGATCAAGGTACATGTCCTTCTTTGCTGAATTGGAAATTCTCGTTTTTTCACCCACATAGCAACCAGTTTTTACATGGGGTAGTGGTCTACCAGAGATTGTACTCACGATGACTCGAACCAGGGACGTTCTCTTGAGGCCAGCGATGCTCTAACCATCGAGCTATGGTGCAGCTGTCATACCAGCAGAAGTCTTAGCTGGATATATTTCCGACAGCTCACCTCCAAGCTGGCTTCTGCCCAGTGTTTCTTGGTCCCCAAACTGTATTTCACGGTGAACGTACCAACATCAAGTGATTTTATCAGAGTATGTTGCTGTCAACTGCTTATACTTATAGTCAGTGCTGCCGTGATTCTAATGTGATGCTCTGGTGTTTTGGTTCTGCCCAGATTGTGCAAAAGAAAGGAAATTCCGCGTTTGGAGTACTCCTGTTCTCCCTGCGAAATGAAGGCTATGAACATCTGTTCAAGCAGATCTACGACGGTGTAGCAGATGATGTTCAGAAGACAGTGGACAGCATAGTCTACCCACCCATCCCTCCGAAGATACGACTAGACCATCTGTCACTGGAGGATGAGCAAGACCAAGATGTGCCTAGTGTTTACATCAGCTACTCACGCTATGTCACCACCGGAATGTCGCAGGACAGGGATTCGTCGTTCAAGAGAACCAGCTCGCCAGCTGATGATGTCACCTACCTATGTCAGATGTTGCAAGCACATGGTGTTGATGTAGTTATTGATCGAGAGCATCTCAATGACTTAGCTGACAATGAGCCACAGTGGATCACAGAACAGTTCTGCCGGGCACAGTTTGTCATTGTTGTACTTGACAATGCCTATCCTCTGAATCTAACATTACAGGCGCAGCAAGCTGTAATGTACAGCTTAGATGATAATGGCTACAGGCGTGCATGCCAGGAGAGTCGCCTGTTACAAGGCGAGTCATACAGTGGCCGTCATGGCTTCTTGCTGCCAGTGCAGTTTGGCGCTGTCACTAGCTCCCCTCTCCATGATGTGCCCATCCTGCTACGCAACAAGACGCGCTATCGTCTGCCGCATCGATTTGCCTTCAGTAACAATGACTTCCAGTTGCTGGTGTGTCGTATTCTTGGTCGTGAGCTGTATGCCGAGGTGAATGGCTATTATCAGCGTGCTGAGAATCATCAGCTACTCTACCCGTCCATACCTAGTGATTATGCAGGTGTTGATAGGAGCGTTTTTCAAGCCCATTGATTTCACACCCGGCTACAGTAGTTGATTTGAACAATTTGAAGCTCATTGAGATTATTGCGGCACAGACACACACGGAGGACTAAGCTACTCAGGATAAGGTTGTCTGCTCATTAAGATTACACACACACACACACACACACACACACACACACACACACGCACACACATGCACACATGCACACATGCACACATGCACACACACACGCGCGCGCGCGCGCGCGTTGAAGACAAAGCCACCAGGATAGGGCAGGTTTCTCATTGAGTTTTCCGTACATTGTCATACTTGGTATTGCCTTGGACGTTGAATGGAGATGCTGACTGGACATGCCTGCAGTATTGTATTCTGAGCAAACTACTCCTGGGAGTATCATTGCACCATTCCACACAATCATGACCTAGTAGGTTATGTGCATAATTTTCACACTACAGTACTTCAATGCATTGCTTTGGGGACCCAGTTCAATGCAAACTGTCTTATGTAGAATATAAACAATAATATAATTATGCTGATTCTTATGGACACTACACTGTGATTCTGAATGCCATGCATCGATGGAATTGTCTCCGCTGTGTTGATAATAACTTGATATGCTGGTGGAGTGGGCCAAGAACTCAAGCAGTGCGCAGTATCAGTGAAGTTGGCTAGACTTTCTAACATGGTTTGCAGTCAGTTTGCCTCTAAATGGTCAGGCATGGGAATGCTTATTTGGGCGGAGAACTCCACAGCAAATAGGCGTAGTGGCATTGAACTGAACGGACAAAGGTTGTCCAGTCCTATATGAAGAGGTAATACCCATAATACTGGTGAACGTGTGCTTGCCATTGTTTGTGTCTGGAAGGAAATGTCAAGACTCCAGTCCTGCCATCCTGGTATTATGGACTCTTCATAACAACAATGCAGTGCACTGACTGTACATACATTTAGTTCGTGTTGAGGTCTGAGATTTGTAGAACTACAGTCTAGTCTACACTGTACTGTGGTGTAGACCAGGGTGGACGAGAGAGAGTGTAGTTTAGATGACCATGATTCGGCATGAACATCATGAAGGCATGATGACCATGATGACTGCTGAGTGCTGGAGTGGAGTGATGTACATGTACATGTAGATCTACCGGTAGTCATGGTAGTGCACTAGTACAGTGACTAGTGTAGATCTCAGTGATGACTAGTACTGCCGTGCGGGGCTTGATGAGGGAATTCCCCAAGGGGCGACTTGAAGAAGTCCAAGCTAGAAAATGGAGGGCTGCATGTGAGACTCCTGCCTGTGTTTGAGCTCACATTGACATGTCTACTGACAACAAAATCCTTGATTGTCGACATCTCTTCGGAGGTGACGGGTGTCGGCTGAGCCCCCCTGCAGTCATCCAGGACGTGCGGATCTGAAACTCCGCTGAATAGTCGGGCTGCTACATGAATGGTTCATGAAAAAGTAGATCTACAACTATTTACTTGAAAGAAGAAGGCAAGTCGAGTGCGCTCCTTCTTCATAATCCACTTCGTTCGCGAACCACAGAGTTGTAAATCATGCAGCTTCGCACGTCCGCCGTGTTCCTGCTGTTTGGTTTGGCACTCAGCATCAGGTGAGTGCATCAGCATCTGTAAAGTCAGCGCCTGCACTGAGTCTGTTGTGTCAGGGTTTGCCTTGGCGCGAATGATAGCTCGGAAGTGCTGGTGTCTGCGTTAGTCTGCTCACACCAGACACTATGGTCTATGGACACTGATAGCGATCAGAGGATTTAGTCTAGCACTGCTTGCTGGTTTTGGCGGGTTTGTGTTCACACAGGGCTGCTCACGGCACTCCTTGCCAGGTTGTTCTTCCGAGTACTTTCAAAGTGCAACAGAAGCAGAATGCAAACGTCTATTTCGAAGAAGGGGAAGGCTCGTCAGGCAGTATTGCCACCCGACCTCAAGTAACGCTCAGTGTCCGAAGATCCTCCGCCGCTGGTGCTGTTTGTGACTCTTCTCTGCCCGAGCCATGCTTGGCGTTCAAAACCAAAAGAGGGTCACTGGGTAAGCAATCTCTCCGTTGCTTTGGGTGTTTGTGTGAATGAACTGCAATTCGGAATTTGTGGTGTTCGTACAGTCTGTAATATATTTGTAAAGCAGTACCGAAGGACGTTTTTTTGCAGAATATTGTAGTGAGATGGTTCCTCCTTCCGTCTTCTGACTGTGCAGGTCGGTCCGTTCATGTGCCGATAAAGGTAAGTGCCAGTAGCGTACTACCGCTGTGGTAATGGTGGCTGTTGCTACCGACGGCGCCGAACTCGAAGTCCTTTCATTAATTTTGAAACCCTACCTGTATATAGGCGGACGTGCTGTGTGGTCGGAAACTATGGCCAGTTTGAATGCACGTTGGGAAAATTACACCTGGTATGACTGACAATTTGTCAAGGGTAATCGAAAAGGGATTTCCTTGGAAGTAGTGGCTGTCAATCCGCTGCTTATACATTCAACCATTCATTAGTGATTGACAAGTTAGTTATCTTCCGCAGTGTTGCCAACCGCCCGTATTTGTCCGTATTTTTACGGAAAAAAGAAGCTTTGTCCGAAGAACGGATTTCAATCGGATATCCCGCAAACGATCATGTATATGATCTATTGCTAAAACCTTCGTAACTCCATCGTTTCTTGTGCCAATTCAACAATCGAAGGATCTACATGGCAGCCAAAACTCCAAGCTGTCCAATGCAACACTCACGGAAGCGCTACGATATCGGATTCCAGAAATATAGACCAAAGTTATGACCTGGTGAAGTTGAAAATTGTACTGAATTCGTAGGCTTCGCAAGTGAACTCTGTGGCTGGAAAAGTTGTACAGTATCGTTTTTTCTTCCAAATTACACTAAATCAGTCAAATTGTTGACCTGAAAAACGAGTACGGAAAACTCTGAAAAATTCTGCAAAATGGCACTGGGCAGTACGCATGGGGGTAGAGGGCACTTGGTAACACTGCAAGTTCCGCTGCCCCAGCCTGCATGTACAGTAAAACCTGCGGCAACTAACGACCACCCCTTGGTTCCAAAGAAACAGGTCTTTAGTGGCAGGTGGACTTTAGTTGAAGGTTTGCACCGTGTTGCCATGTGGATCCCATTATCATAATGTATGGCTAAATGCAGCTAATCCAATCCCCCACCACTTGAGCGATGTCATTCTTATTACAGACCACACAACAGTTAGAGAGAGAAAAGTATGTGTTACTGCTAATATCAAATTCAGCTGCTGCTTCTGAAGCCAGGATCCTAGGAGCTATTAAGTGAAATGATAATTTGTTGATGAATCGCAAGTTTATCAACAGCCATTGCCACAGTAGCCAAACCATGCTGCAACGTACCGTAGCATGCTAGCACCGCAGTGTTAATCTGTTCAACTGGGGTATGCAATTGTACTTCGACAGAGCAGCTCAGTCTTTGTTTCTCCTTCGAGCAGTAACATCAACCAGAGAGCACTTTCGACGCGCTGTCAAAGACGGTTCTTATCGTGTTCGGTCGCTAGTCACGGGTCAAAAATCGACCTTGGCACAACAACGAAAAGGCGGTCGTTGGTCACATTGAGCAGGAAGTTGCTAGTCAAAGTGCACTTAGAATGTGAGAGCGTCCGTGCCTGGCAAAGTTGTCTATAGTACCAGGCTGATCGCTAGTCAGGGTGGTGTTCAGTGTAAGATTTTACTGTACCTTGGCATGATGATTGCAGGTGTTTGCCAGTCGGGTACCGGAGTGCCTACCTGGAGAGGTAATACCTGTCACCGTCACAGCCGTGTGCCGACTCGGGAATTCCACCAGGAGCCAGTCGTGGGATGTCTCGCTGCAATGTCGACGGGCTAGGGTCATCCTACAACTTGACAAACCAGTCTACTCGGCAGGGCAGAAAGGTAAGTTAGGAACCCTATGGTCCCTTTGTTTCATTTTATTGAATTCTCAGAAGAAGTTGGAAACCAGGAATGCTCACCAACAATGCACTGTTGCAGCAATCTATTGAGCACTTTGCTTCATGCAGAATCCTTGAATGTTCTGCATTCTGAGAGGCAACAGTGTTTTCACTATTAATTTTCTTTAATGTACATTTGTTTTGTTCATGTCCAGTTTTCATGAGAGGCTTCTTTGTTGATGATATGTTACGAACCGTGAAGCAAAATGTAAGAAGTAGTCTCATGGGTGCACTGCTGCATGAGCATCAGAGTGTGCCGTTTTCTGCATGAGTATTCCTGTGTTAGACGTATTAGCATGCATTGCTGTGTGCACATTGCTCAGGGCCTCTGGGTGCAAGGCTGTGCGCATTGCTATATGCACATTAGGTGTGCAGTTTTCTATGGGCATGCACATTACTGTGCGGTTTTCCGTGTGCAGTTTGCAACAATACAGGTATAGCGGTGGAGGTAGAAATGAAAGCCGTGCCATTGGCATTATCCACATTGCTGTTTCCTGTAGATAATTTCATGTGCACAGCAATGTACGTACCCATAGCAATGCCTATATTATAGGCATTGCTATGGGGACGTACCTCTTGTTGCATTTCCAACGTACTGTTTGCATGTGCTGGAAAGGGGCACTTTCAGGCATCAATATCTACTTCCTCCGGAAACAAAAACTTCGTGACTTTTTTACATGGCTTTTCAAGGAGTTCAACACATTCAATCAACATATCTACAATATCTACAGGATCAATTAGTGGGAATAGAGTCTCAGTCTGGGTCGCCATCGCTCGACTCATCACGGCTGAAACCGTTCCAAGTGGCAGGTCGATCGACGCGATATTGTATGTCGCGTTCCTGATCCTCTTTGCTGTTACCTGAATGCCTTCTCCAACATCTCGGCGGAGACCACGGTAGCGCTGCAGCACTGGTACTCATTACCGCCTCCGCTCTCGCTCGAGGACAAACACAGGCAGAGCCAACAATTTCAAATTTCCTCCGAGGGATATCATAGTGGTACCAGCACTTCCCGACTGCCGCGATCAGATCTCGCCTGTTCTCCTTTGCGACCAAGGACACATCGTCGAGGCTGCTGGAAAAGGCGACATCATCCACGTTGAGGTCTGGGCTCGGAAGTGGCTGAACGTTGACTACTATTTTGAACTTACTTGTTCACCTTGCTCTGCTGCACGAAGTGTCGATTGTCACATCTCTGCGTTTTATAGTTTTGACATCGTGCCGACCTCTTCGCATGCCGACAGGCGTTTCGGGGATGGAGAAGATTTCAAAACGCTAGCTGTTATTGCTATTCATTTTCCACTCTTCTTGCTCCTGGGTGCCACTGTCCTGCTCTGTCAAGTCCTGAACTAAAAGTTACAAAACATAGCAACGACGAGCAGTGAGCGCAGTGCTTTTTTCTTATTGCGCCTGGTGGACGAAAATGAAAAAACATGTTCGCTTTGCTTTGTTCGCAACGTCGACACCCTTGCTCTGCGACGACTATCGGCTCTCCAGGATATGAATTATGCTTTCCTACGATTCCGAAATGTCATGTCAGTGTTCCAGGCTGACAGAACCAGGGAGAAAGAGCGAAATAACCGCAGCGAATAGTAGTGAAAAAAGTCACAAAGTTTTTCTTTCCGGAGGAAGTATTCATATCTTACTAGATCCGGCACTATAGGCAGTTTGCCTTCTTACCGGGTACGCTAAACAATGGAATCTGGATACTGTTGAAATGGCATGAACAGTCGGTGGAAGGCTATTCCACCTTCTGGGGCAAGAGAAGATAGAGAAACAGGGCCGTAGCGTGAGGTTACATTGCATGTGTGTCTCCCAGAAAATTACCAACAGTATCATTTGTTCCACATAGAATGAAGCAATAACGTTACTTGTTTGCTGAGTGCCTGTGCCTGTACTGTGCTCCTCTGTGTGCTCTTATCTCAGGTGACCTTGGAAGTTAGAGTAAGTACATGTATGGCAAGGTAAAAGTCATGATTCTGATTACATCATCAATTGAGATGAGTTGGCAGTCGCGACACAGCGTGTGCTGGCAATGAACCAGCGACTCACTCTGTAAAAATAGTGCCCATGAGCGGCTCCATAACTTTGCTGACTCATCATTGTGACTCATTTCGCCTAACCTCTATAGCACTCCGGTTACTGCTGACTACTTGGGAGTAACTGCCGATCGTTGTTGTGACTATGTATCTCACAGAATCCTAATGGTGTACTTGTGGGTCTGAAGATGGTCACGAGTGGTCAAGCATCACAAGGTAAGAACATTTTTGTGGCAGCATTTTTACACTTTTTTAAAGCATGTTGTGAATTGTTGGAACATTAGTAAAGAGATAGGACAAGGCAACGTCTTATTGATTCTCTTGAACTTTTACGGAAGTATAATGGCCCGGTTTTCATTTTATTTCGGAATCTCTACACCGACATTGAGTCATAGGTCGCTGACTCTGGATGGAAGATCCACTCATATCTGGCTCGCTTCCAACAAACATGAACATCATTTACATGTAGTGTAGCAATGTCCAGTCCTTTGGCAGGGTTTTGAACTTTTACATGTAACGTTTGAGCTGAGTTTGTGTTTTAGCGGGTTCCAAATATTGGCTGAATCGTTTATCATGCCAGCCAAATATAGCGTGTGTGTACATCACCATTATGCACTGCTGCCACACGACCCTGGCCATGCCTATATACCTATCTCCCCCCCCCCCCTTATCTTCTCTTCTGCTGGATGGCAGGTGTTGTGGAACATGAGTTCATACTGGACACCGAACCTCAGTTCGGATTCTGGTCGGTCAGCGCTTTGCCAGCAGTAGCGGATGGGAATGCTGTCGTAAGTCTGAGGAGAAACAAGGACAAATGTAGTGCAACTATGCTATTTCGCACATGCTTTTCGAGTATAAACTGCAAACTTGTGCATAGGGAGGAGGTAAGAGAGAGGCTTTAGTGCTCAGACGATCTTAGTAGTCTCGGCATTACTGCAGCCAGAATGGTGAAGAGTGAAATGTATGGAGTTTGTAGTTTTGTCTTACTACTCATCGTGAATTCATAGTATTCTTCGTGAAGTTAAATGGTAGTATCATTCCATTTTAAAGCGATGCCTCATGAAGATTGCTACCACATTTCTTCTGATGCCTCTGCAGCTATTCATGCCGACGCGTACAACATTTGAAGTCAAGGACTATGGTAAGTGCAGGAAGCGTTGAAATTTGTTGTCTGAAGTGTACCTGGAAAGATGAATATGTAAGTTGGCGCACCTGTGCGGCCGTTTTGGCTAAACCCACAGTTAATTGGGAACTCGTGGCCTGGCACGAGGAAAGCATGGATGCAGTGCATGGATGCGAATATTCCCTCAGTATTGCGACCGGATTCTGAACAAATGTTCAATCCAAGACTCGACTTTGGTCTTAGGAGGCGGAGCATTTGGTACAACTTTCGTGGAACTTTTAAAAGCCGAGGATCCTGTTCAAGTGACCAGGTATTTTTGGTTAGGTTTCGTTTGACACTATAAGACATATACTACACACAACATTGTGCTAATCTACGCATATGTAAAGCGATTGTATTCTTTTGGGCCACGCAAACACAAACAGATAAAGTGAAACTCGGCCTGTGGTAGGGAGATCTCCCTCCAAGTTGCATTACCAGTAGGGAGGGAGGTCACTACCCTCGACATGTAGGAGTAATAGTGGGCATACTATGTAATCATGTTTGCCCGGGCATACAGTAGGAACAGAGTTACAGGAATGAGTGCATTGTATGTGCAAATCCTGTGCCGAGTCGGGAGGTTTTCAACTATGGTCAGGAGAGAGTGAGGGATATCTTTCCAAATCGCTAACAACATCTGGAGATCTCCTGCAGTGGAGTTCGAACTCTGCACTAGCAAGAACACATGAAATTGTTAGAACTGACATAACCATAGCAATGTATTTGAATATTTCTTTCTCTTCCACTGTAGTCCTTCCTCGCTTCCAAGTTGAGGTCAACCTGCCCTCTTATATCGAGCACCTAGAAGATCCTGATATTGCTGTCGATATCGCGGCAAGGTAAAAACTATGGCACTTGCTTCCTGTCTTCTAATAATTACTTCATGTTATTCATGTTAGAGCTTCATGTTATTTTCAACTTACATGTTTATTTTTATTTATTTTTAAACACTTTCTCCTGTAGCTACACATTCAACGCAGCTGTGGCAGGTTCAGTTAGCATCACCGCTGCAATCGTGTGGAAAGAGAAAAGAAGGGAGCTGATCCTATCCAAGATAGAGAAAGACCTGGTAAGCTACAACAGACATTATGAATATGGGAGTGTAATTGTATACACACCGCACTATTTCGTACCGGTATGTAAATGGTTGATTTTTCCTTATTATTTTGTGTTCTAATCAGTTGATTTACTAGATTTTATACTTTGAAGTAGGTACTTCCTTGGTACTTTCCAATAGCACAATTTCGGTGTCGGCGTATAAACCGGTGTCCACGTGTAAGCCCATGTTCTTGTACAAGCCTACTGAAATGTCCTTGTGAAACAGATAAGCCCGGGGGCTTATCCGCGGGATTCTACGGTAATGTGCCAAATTTACTCCTAGATATTTGCCCACGCATGGCAATTTGCTAGCTAATATTTCTTATGCTTGCCATTGCCTTGTATGTTTCCGATGATGCTTCAGGTCCCAGAAGTGAAGCATGGTAGGATGTACGGCAGGACAAGCTTCACTATACCTAGTAGTTCAATATGGGAGGCACTGGGATACGGTGTCTTTCCGCTGGGCAGCTGTCTTAAGGTAGAGGCGGCTGTACGCGACAGGACATCACTGAGGCAAGTGAAGGGTGCAGCACTAACTTGCTTTATAGATCAACCATGTCGGATTGATGCCACGATGCTGGACTCGGTGATCAAACCTGGTCTACCCTTCTCATCGCAGGTAATTGCCAGTCATGATCAAGTTGGCATTATTTGCAGTCTTAATTAAGACAGCCATGTCCAGTGGGTGTGATCCTTCATGTCCTTTTTGCTATACTACTGGAGCCTGGCACCATGCACATGGCATCTGCCATATCCACGTAGGAGCATTTTCTAGCATTGTACGAGGTTTTGTTAAGCACGTTTCGATAGTTATATTTTTTGAATATTCCTGCGAAAGATGTCTATGCCTCATAATGGAATATCAGCCATGATACAGCCAAGCTTACCAAGCTAAGTTCGTTCACTACATCAATGTCTGTCTACTCCGCAAACTTACCATGAAGCAGGTTTGACGCTTGCATGAACAAGAAGGGCAGGTAGAGACAGCAGGGGAAGGATGGGGACAACATCACGGCTGCCGTCAGGATGAGATTCGAGCAAGAACACGAATGTGCAAACAGAATAGTAGCAAGGAAGTCTTGCTTGCAAGGTCAACTGGTGGAATGTATGTGTATTTTAACTTTGGTTAGTAAGTGTTTGTCCCCTTTTTGACAAGTATAAGGCACTACCAGTACCACTCGTGCATACCCAAATTGCATGAATCTGTACACATGTCAATAACCCCGGCTACACTAAGGGCGCGTTAGAATTGTCTTCTTTTAGAGCGGTTTCTATCATTTTAGAGTTTTTCAGTGGAATTGTCATGGCGGTGATGACGTTCGATCAGATCGACCATCTCCACGTACTACGTGACGTAGCTATTCCAAACTCTTTGAAACTAATCTGCCTCTCCCATCGGGTGAGGTCACAAGTTGTGGAGTTTCGAGGAGTTTCGAGGAGCTTCGTTTTTCTGAAGAGCCCAATAAGGCCACCTCTTCAGAAAAACAAACTCCTCGAAAAGTCAAAGAGTGACAATTCGAACTCGCCCTAAGAGAGCATATATGTGACGCAATTTTCATCTTTGCATTCAACTCCCTGAAACTTATGATAATCAGCCCTATTCTATGAACACATCCATCCTTGTGTCCGTGGAGAGTAACAGGGTGTGTGTTATGTTGACCCCGTTCATTGCAATGTTCCGGCCCTCGCTAATATCATTATCAATGTATCTTTTAGGTACGTCTTGTGGACTATGAGGATCACCCTGCTCCAGATCGCTCTGTGACAATCACATTCAGACAGATAGGCTCGGGCTTCTCTGCATCAACACAGGTAATGCAGGCCATGTCAGACAGCAACGGCTTCATCCACTTCCGACTACCGGGTGTTGGCATACTACCTAACACTTACTCCGCCTCCATGAAGGTCAGTGGCACACCTTATCTAGCCTCCAGGGCGAATTCTGGAATATGTTATGGTCAATACTGCGATAGTGGAGGGTCACTAGTGCATGCACTACTATTAAGTAGATCATTCAAGATCATTTTTTGCAGCTCCATTTGAGAACTCGATGTGTTTGGGGCAAACTGCAATAACTCAAATTTGCACTGCTATGCACTCTGCTTCGAAACTAATTCATCTTTTTTGTCTTTAATAGACCATCAGGAACAACGAAATGTTGTGCAAGCAGAATGATGGTATTTATGCAAAGTAGCACATCTTGAGCAAATATACAGTTGAGTGTGCGTACTATCTATTTACTTGTCTATCAGAGTTTTCTGACCCAGCTTGGTCTTCATGTGAATACCACAGATCATGTCAAACTGCTCGCAGCCATTTGAACAGCATTTTCGCATATGTCATGCCAGCCCATCCTGCCCCGGAAACATTAAACTAGTGGCGGAAACAAGACAACGAGCAGCGGTAAGTGTGAAACTCGTGCAAGTGTAGGCATTTCTCTCGATCCTATGCAACTACGTGTGTAACGTTACTCCGGTTCAAAATGGTTGAGCAAAGCCTACCCTGACACTAGGAGTGATCAACAGTATGTTGTCAGGAGAAACTAGGGAGTCCAGAATTCATCGTGACAGACACAACGGACAGACTCCACCGTAGAAGCTCTTCAATTTATGGAGTCGACCTCCTCAACATCCATTTCCAGTAGTGTTGAAAGGATCTCACCGGGTACTCGTTAGCTCGCTCACCAGAAACTCGGCTTGTTTGCGCGACGAGCTCATTTGCACTAACGAGTACCATATTCGGTACGACATACACATTACAGTACAGTCAGTGCATCTAGTGAACTCTCCGTTCGAGCGAACCAGTCTTTTGGAAGTTTTTTCCCGCAACGTAGCAAAGAACAAGGCTACTTGTAATCTTTGAAAAAAGGTCTATTCTTACAACGGCTGCTCAACAAAGGCGCTGAAAAGATCACTCTACTATAAATACCCGTCCGAAGTGGAGCCAGTTGAAAGCAGCATCAACCCCAGCGTGAGCGGTGAACGTTCGAGGCATTTATCCATTTGAAGAATCAAAAAAATCACCTTTGCCACATCAGTGAAACTTAACTCACTCGATAAGCCCGCTTGTTGGCTCGTTTAGTATAGATGCGCTTGTTTCAACACCAATGTTCAGGCTAGGAACCTGCAATAAATCTCACAGTTAATGGGAACATTGTGGTGTGATCTCTCTACTACAATGTTTTGAGCTTTGGACGATTCTTAACCTTCTTGCTTGATGCTGCACAGGTAGAAGAAAATCACTTGCTACAAATTCAAGTTAGCCAGGCACCAGAACAGAATATGAACATCACAGTACAGGTAAGATGACTCTAATCTTCCTGTCTAAGCTTGTAACAGATGAAGCAGCTACCAAATGGGAACTGGCCTAGTGCGATTTTAGTGGAGAGCTGGTGGTCTTTAAAACCCGAGTAAGTGCAGCGGTCTTTGAATCCAGGGTTGGCACTGCAACGTACTTGGCACCATGGAAAAGTGATTGTCACACCAGGTGGTCAATGAAACCGGTCGGTCTCTTGGCCGTGCTGGCTTGCTTACTATAGTGTGCTGTAGTACGTGGGCCAATTTGATAAATGCAGTACCCTCATGCACCCCCCCCCCCCCCCCCGGCAAACGAAGGTTTTATGGTTGTAACTAACGCAGTTAGGGACACTGATTCCAATCATGTATGTTTGGGTTGCACCAGGATATCCAAACTGCAAAGTTGTACACCACTTTTCTGTATATCCTCCGTTTCCATGGGAACCACACCCAAAATTGGTTTCCTAGCTTGCAGCTGGATAATGATTGCAATGAATGTTGTGGCCAGCCATGGCAGTAAGTAAGAACAATTCTAAATGACAAATTACAAGCGAAGAGGCAATAACCTACACAGTGCGAGGCAAAAAGAAACAGATCTGAATGAAGAATTCGCAGTTGTTAGAACCCAAGCTTTATGTGGAACTTGAAATCCTTTAGGGTACAAGATGATTTTACTGATAGACGTAGGGCCAGCCAGAGAGAATAGGCAGCGAAAAACGGTAGTTTCAGGGCTCACGGTTGTGTACAAATACGTGGGCGCCGTTTTGTTTTGGCCAGCTCGCGCGACGACAGCTCGACTGTCACGCGACCACAGCTCGACCACCCCTTGTACACAAACTGTAGCCATCTCGCAGCACATTTTCAGTGCGACACATGCCTCTTCAAAATAGACTAAGATAGCACGGGTAGACAGTACGACGCTGAAAATCTGGGCGGAACCAGGCAAGATGTGAACTAGGGGATCAACCGAAGGAAATTTTGATTTTGGCCCCGGGAAACTAAAGATATTGTCACAAAGTCCGTGAATGCTCTACAGCAATCCCTTGATCTAGAAAAAATCGCTTCGGTTAAACCGTAGCTTAGCATCTACTGCAGATTTTGAGCCATCGATTGTCAAAATCGGCCAATATTGTGCTACCTTAGACTGTTTTGAAGTGAGCTAAGTCGGCAGGAGCGCACGCGAACTCCCGTGCGCGACGACAAGGAAGGAAACGTGTGCATAAGCATTGTAGATGCGGAAACTACACCAGCGAGGCAGCAGCAAGGCGTTTTTGCAATGTTTCCTCCGTGACTGACAAACTCTTGAAATAATATTCACCGTTTGCTGTCTAGCTCATCGGCGCTCTACTGCTGTGTGCTTCAGCAGCTATGGCGAACCGAAAATACTTGACCAGTACAACGGCAAAGCCATTTGAGTTGTCCTCTTGCAACAAAACAGAGTGGCAAATCAAATAATTCACAACTCTCCATCGTCACTTCTCACAGCAGCGTGGCACGGCTCTTTCACTCGTGTCCGTGCATTTACAAAACACTCTGACAACAGAGATAACGACCTAGAACACTGTGAGTCTTTGCTTCATTCCATCAAGGAGCCCTTGCCCTCTACCTCACCTGCGCCAGTGCATCAGCGGACGAGATAGATGTCGATCCCTTTCTCAGCAAAGACTCGGCGGCAGAAATCGCGACTTCGACTCATCGCAGGACTCTGCGTGCGAACTGTCTGAAGCCTTCGGCTTACGAGGCCAGCACTGCTCGCAACACATTCGCTCGGAAAGAAGCAATAACAACGACGGTGAACGGCGACCAAAGTGAAACGCAAGTCCCCAGCGGGTCTCCGTCTTCCTCAGTTCTCCTTCTTCTTGTCAGTCACTGCAACTCTCCTCGCAAAATCTCGAGTCCTTGCTGTGCTCCGCGCACTGCCGGCATGCCGCATACATGTAGCTCCGGTCACGCGAGCTCATTTCTATGGCGATCAGATTTCAAGATGTCCTCCCACGTAAACAAGTTTTGGCATCCCAACCGTGAGCCCTGAGTTTGGTCGTTGTATGCAAGTCAGATATGGCACGTGCTACACTAAAAGTCGGTCGCTGGTCACGCAAGGCAGGCGGCCGCTGTATCCGGTGCAAGTTTCTGTGTAGAACTGTCCGTGCATGGAAAAATGGTCGTTAAAAGCAGGTGGTCGCTAAAGAGGTTGCTTAAACCAGGTTTTACTGTAAGATGACAATCAACAAACGTCGCCAACGTGTGAAAATAGAGGGAAATTACTCATGTCATCACATGGCCACAAAATATTAGTAATTTGGCGTTGTATGCCCGATGTGGAGTGGAGCCGGTGTCGGACTTGATCCGAAATTCACGCTGGAGTCTATTCGGGCATGTGCCTCGCCTGGGTAAGGACACGCCAGCACGATTGAGCATGGAGCAATACTTTCAGGCACCCGAGGGGAGGTACCGTGGGAGGCCGAGGGTGACACTACCAATAAAGCTCCACACCGATCTGTCCCAGTCGAACAATGGGCACCTGCGGAGTGTTGAGGACTTGCGCCGTCTGGAGCGGATTGCTGTGGACCGTCCAGCATGGAACGCGCTGGTGAAGAGTGTTTGTGCACACCCTCGTCACGAGTAGAAACAGCCATGGCACCCTTATAAACTCATAACAACCATTCTATAATAATATTACTATTTGAATCTTTTAATAATTATCTGGCAACTCAACCTCATACGTATAATTATCTGGCCACCCATTGACCATGATGCTACATGAGGAGACAATAGTGATGACATTTTTCCAATGAGACCAATTTTATGACGCTCCATGTTACTGAAGGACTAACTTCGATCATTGGTTTTGTAGAGCCCCATTCTCTAGGAGCTGTCTACATCTGCTTTGTTTCAATGTCCAGCATAAGCGAACGTGTGGATCAAGCATAACTGCTTGGTTGACGCTGCCGCGGGAATGCGTATAATAATAATAATAATAATTCATACAAAAGATTGTGAGTAAAGCATTATGCTTCCCAAGTGTACACGTGGATGAGATTTTTGATATTTATTTGGAAAGGCTTATAGGCTGGTAAGATGTATCCAGTGGATGAAATTCCTGAGGCCGTAAGTACATGAAGATCATGCCAAATGCAGCGAGATAAGTCAACCAGAGCAGCTGGCACGGCAGGCCGAGTTGTCCAGAGATGATCTTCAACTGACCATCATTCATCTCCACCCATGGCTGACTAGAGACGGCGCCTGTCCCACCCATGACTGACTAGAGACGGCACCTGAAGCGACGGATCAAGAGCATTGCGCCAGACCAGGGCTTGATAATTGGCCCAGCCAGTGTGCTGGTGAAGATAATCACTGGTGGGAGGCAACAAAGCAGAATACTTTCCAGGATTGGTGGCACGTGGCAGGTTTTTCAATGCATGTAAAGTCTGCTCCATAGACCCTATGTTTACATTCCTTGCCAACTTTCTCAGGAAGATCAAAATCTCCAAGTAATATCTGCTAGAGCTATCGGCATCCTCTCCTGTAGGGATGTAATTATGTCACTTTCTGGGCCGCTGCAGGCAAACCTTCGCAGGAAGATCAAAATTTCCAAATAGTATCTGCTAGAGCTATCGGCATCCTCTCCTGTAGGGATGTAATTATGTCACTTTCTGGGCCGCTGCAGGCAAACTATTCACACAGCTTCAGTAGATCATCTGGTACGTCAGCAGAGCAACCCAAGTGCTGCATGGCAATGACAGCTGCTGCTTTGATCAGCTCAACAGTGATGCGCATTTGCCCTGGGAGACGTGCAGACGTGCTGTCACAGCCAGTGAATGCGTGTTTTGTGCACCCGCAAATGTTGTCCAGGCGTCAGGGGCCCAGCCTCCCTGCCCATCCGACCCGCCACACACAACAACGAAACTGAACTGTTTTACATAATTTCTTGACAAGACAGAGATGGACAGACAAGAAGACCGGACACGCCAAGGTAAACTGAAAACTGAAGAAAAAGACTAACATTATGGTAGCATATGAGCATGCACGCAAACAAAATAACGCATGACAATGACGTAACCGTTCCTTGGTTCATGTACAGACTACACATGCAACCAAAACCGTCCAACACAGTCTAAATAGAGAACACAAAACAAGACAAAATAAACAAAAGGACCACAACAAAAACGAGCCATGAAAAGTCTTTCTTTCTATTAGAACCGATACGCAACAGCGTGCATACCTGGAAGGGCATCGCAAACATCCTGTCCTAGCGATGATGCGATGGCAGTGAGGTCCACGCACCTGCGACGGCTGCCAGTTCCTGTTTCCCAGAGCAGACGGGATGCGGGTGGACAGGGAACATCCAATGACAAGAACATCGGTATCTGGCGAACAGATGCACACAATGTCATGTTCAAAGCCCTGGTTTCCTCAGTACATGGTTGGCATGCAAAAAGAGACCTGCATCAGCCTCTTCTTGACAACAGTGCCGAGCTTTGCTTCATGACAGGCGACGGGTGTACCATGAAGCAGATGTAAAGCGTACACAGTTTTCGCCGTTCGTCAGAAATGCAAATTTCCCTTCCATCTTGCAAGCGTATTCAGATCGCTGCCATTCAGCCACAAGGAACTGAACAAGATATGTCTTGTTGCTGGATGCTGAGAGAAACCGCTTTCAGTCGCCCGGAACCTTTTCGGCTCATGGCTGCTAATCTGGATCACTGCTGGAGGGGTCGGGCCTGCATGCTTGTTTCGCTACCGAGATTTGATTGATATATCATCAGGGTACGTGTCGCAAACAAGATCCACACAGCTAGCTGACAGCAAACCTCTTGCGATCTGAAAATATCTGCTGAGCCAGATGGCCGAAGATTGAGCCAACAGGTTTCATTGCTTGAAGCACATCCATGCCATCATAGATACTGTAATTCCACAAATTTTCGGTGTATTTATATTTTTGGTACTTTCGGTGCATCTGTTTCATACCTAAAATTTCAATACACCGAACAAACACTAACACACATAATCCAATTAGGGAACTGCTTCTCTGTACCTAACATTTCTGTCAACCTAACCTGGCCTGTTGCCCTCATACCGAAAATATTGAGCACCTAAAATTTCTGAAATTAGTAGTCCCGGTCCCAGTAGGAGCAGATCCTGGTTGGCTTCATAGAAAAAGGTGGATTGTCAACAGATCCCATCCCTAGTCGATATTACAACAGTCACTGCAATTATTATCGGCTGCAAGCCATCAGGAACCCATTATGCGTGTGGTTTGCCATGGTAACGGATGATATGCGGAAAAGTGAGAATTTGGTCACATTTGCAGTTGGATACCCTGGTGCAACCCAAACATGATTGGTGTCCCTAACTGCGTTTGTTACAACCATAAAACATTGGTTTGCCGGTGGGTGCATGGACGACTTTTTCCAGAGCTTCCTTTTCGAATAGACCGATCCCCTTATTATACTGGGTTCGAGCACGGGGGCAACCTCACTCGCGATCGAGCTAGTTTTGAACGTGGCAGCATCTTTGACAGTGTGTTTCAGGTTTGTTTTGGAATGTCTTCTGCTTAGTTCAAGTAGTTTGCGATGGCTTCGAGCGGTGCTGAACCTCCTGCTGGTAGGAGCAGAGTCTCTGAGAGAGACATGGACTGTGATGCAGCTGTAGGATTTTTTCAAGGCGCGGGAGGGAACGATCTCGGGCCACAAACAGGAGTTACTCCAGAGGTGAGTTTTTTTGTTGTTGAAATATTCGAATCGTGAATCGTGTTTTGAGATTTATTTTGTGCCTAGGCTTTAGCAGACCGTATTTCTTTCTCCTTGAGATCGGTGCTGAAGACAATAGTAACCTTTTGCTGGTCTGCCTTTTCCTCTCCAGAGCCATCTTCTATGAAGGTAACCGTGGTGCTGCCAAGTCACCAAGTCGCGATCAGCAGCCCTGAAGTGGAAAACTCGATTTTCCAACGATCTGGTTGGACATCAGCCACTAAAGTACTTCTGATTTGCCTGTAGTGACAACAGCAGCCATCCTTGGACACCTTGCAAAGACAGGAAAAGCCACTGGTGGAAGCGACTGCTATGAGGTGACGGTAGCAGTGCAGTGATGATCGCTGTTTTGTCAAGTCGAAGGGCTAGCCAACCCAGAGGAAGCAAAAAAAACGATGAGCAGTGCGTGGTATTGAGCGTGAAGAGCTAGAGGAGTACAGTGCAAACACATGGACGGAGTGGATGGTGTTTGAAGAACAGTGTGCTGTGTGCCGGCTGGTGGTGATGGTGGTCTTTGTCAGCATGTATTCGTGCTGCTTCTTGTGCTGGAACACTTCTCGCCCAGGAAGGCAGATTGCGTGCTCCCTGGCCCTCAGTCGGCAATGGGGCATTTGTTCCAGGAACATTACCCCAGAGCCAGTGATGAGTCGTACCTTTGAAAAGTTGAAGCTTGCTGTTAATCGCAAGCGTAGCGCAGTGGATTGCTCCCTCTTCGAAGCACGAGGGCCAAAGCTTGCCGCTGTCTGCAGCAAAGTGTGTGCGGTTCTTTCGAACCTATGAATATACCCCCCCCCCCCTCTCTCTCTCTTAGGAAGACTGCATGTTCAGAGTGAACTATTTCTAGTATATTTAATGTGAGACGGGCTGTTTACGCCCAAGATGAAGATACAGTTTTTTTCCGTTTCTATACCTTCCTAATAAAATACATCGTGACGGAGCTTTCGGTCATACTCCGCTGTACTACATCCTCAACCCGCCACCACCATGCGCTCTTGGCCGAACTAATGCACGAAGCATAAACACACCAGCACAGCAAGGACACTTCCGTTGACAGATATTATTTACGCCTCTAGACAGCTGTTTCGTTTCTTCAAGCTCATCGTTAGAGGAGGATAGTAGCAGGATACTAATGATGAAATAATATAAGATGATGCTAGTAGACGGTTTAAAACTTTATGGTCCGATATTGATGATTGGAGATCTAAGAAAGCAATGACAGTGATTGCGAAATGGATAATATTATCATGATTATATGCCAGTCTGGTAATGCGTTATACTAGTGAACAGTATTGAAATCATCACTGCATTCGATGTAAATATTGGTATACCTTTGGTTTCCGTATTGGAGAAAAAGAACCTGGTTGATTTGGTTGCATCTGCGACTGGCTACCGGGTGTTGTGATCAGCAATGTTACCATGGGAGAAAATAAGAGTGCAAGGATCTGTTGGGTCTTGTTGTGCTGTGCCGTGCCGGTGCGAGAACCCTAAGTGCATGGCAAAATAGAACTGTTTCATCCCCATTGCAGAATTTCTTGCGGTACATGGCATTGATGACTGAACATCTCGCCAGCTCACCCAGATGGGGATCATGCCCAAACGGAGGAACAAGACATCTTTCCAGCTCAGCTAGCTATATACCGTGAAACGGATGGTTAACTTGTGCCACGCATGCCAGCTTCTGTTCCATTCGGCCCAGGCTTAGACACACCAATGCCAATAGCAGCTGATCCTCCATTACATGCTCATTGGCGATTTACGGCCACCTCCAACTGTATCCGCCGTTCCTCAGCTTCCGTCTTCGCAGATCTGGCGCGGCGCAGTACATTTTCTCGGCTAGGCTCAAAGAAGTCCCACAGAGCGGTCCAAACACCTGAAGGCAAACCAGTCAGAAACTGGAGCGGCTCAGAGTCTTTCTTTATGTTATTGTACGTAAGCTGTTTTTCGGCTTTCTTCACCCCAGTCCTCACATCGACCAACTGCTCCACGAGACTCTGTACACGAGCTCTACTTGCTGCCAACTCCTGATGCAGATGCTGCACTTCCATTACAGGACCAAACTGCACTAAGCCAGGTTCCTTTCCAACTCAAAGTGCCGTTGCCTCTCAGCAAAATACTGGTTTGCGAGCATGGGGAGCTCGTGATGGCTGATCCAGACGCTGCACTTCAATGACCGAACTGCACTAGGCTCAGCAAATACTGTTTTGCGATCATGGGGAGCAGGGCGTCCAGACTCCACTCTCTTGCGAAAAGCAAACCTGGTACCGTAGGACAGCTGTTTGGTTTCCTCTGGACTCATCCTGTCCTTGTAGAGCTGGGCAAAACGATTTCGATTTCGGGATCGAAATGATCGCTGCAACTCAAATATTCAGAGTGACCCTAAAACTACGTCCTTCCTCACGGGAATAGCCTGGATCCGCTTTCTCCAGGCCGCTGTGGCTCCACACGAGGAAAGGAGTGAAATGACTTGTTTGCTTCGTCCTCCTGTTCTGACAGTGAGGAACGCAGCAATGTTCTGAGAAGGCATCCTGAAGTCGTAAAAAGGAAGACGTCTAAACAAAAAGAAAACAGCTCAAATCAAAAGTCCTTGTGGCATTTTTTTGTAGACAGGCTTGCACTGCATGTAGATCTCGTGTGCTCTGCACTTCGCATGCGAGAAGTCACGCACTAGTCGCGGTGAGGTTGGTCGCGTGTGTGCAGCAGGATCCCACACGACTGCGGAGTTGCCCCCTTGCTCGAACCCAGACAATAATAAGGGGATCGGTCTATTGGCCCACGTACTATTGCTTGTATGAGATGAATGCATTGGTCTTGTGAAATCATCGGTCCTTCTTGCATGGTTTGCATTACCAGCATAAAGTGACCTGGCGGTACTTGAAATATGCACTCGTGTGCATGTGTCTTGAATGTGTGTGTGTGTACATGTGTTGTGTGCTGTCAGGCTGTGCGTGATGGCAGTATCCTGCACACCTCCCAGCACACCATACTCTCCGGTAATGCTCATCTCGAGGACATCCATGTCTACATCAGACCAGAGTGGTCGCCTGGATTCTACTGGCTAGTTTACCACATATGTGATGGCGCTAGTAACATCATCGCCGACAGTGTGTACCAACCTGTAGCCCACTATCAACAAAATCAGGTGAGCCTGAATAGGGAAAACAGTCGTAAGATAGAAAAGTATGCTGAGTCCATAGTATGTAACTGTGATTGTACATGTAGGCCAATGCACCACACTGCCATCAGTACTGTATCTACTTTTCCTGCATCGCACCTTCCGAAGTTGTATTCATGCACTCAAACACACTATCACAGTATCATACCAGTACCCCCCCCCCCCCGGCCCCCCTGGTTTTGATTAGTTTGTTCAAGTGCCAGCTCAAACACTGCATGAACCGGTTCCATACCAAAGTTAGTTTCAAACAAAAGGAAAGTGTTCCCGTTTTCCACAGTGCACTGATGTAACTACACGATGTAATGAGAGCGCAGCATTCCGCACAACTGAGCATTCCGCACAACTGAGCATTCCGCACAACTGAGCATTCCGCACAACTGAGCATTCCGCACAACTGAGCATTCCGCACAACTGAGCATTCCGCACAACTGAGCATTCCGCACAACTGAGCATTCCGCACAACTGAGCATTCCGCACAACTGAGCATTCCGCACAACTGGCTCATACAAAAGAGAAAAGCGTTGCTAAGTCTTGGGTATGGATGCCTAAACTGATCTATGTGGAGTGGTCTGGAAGGTGCTAGGATCAGCTTATACTCAGCTGCCTTATAGACATCAACAATGATATGAATTGATCAGAACACTGTAACTTCCCAAAACATACAGTTGATCAAGACCAGGAAGCTTTCTGTTAATGGTGATCAGATCCAAGCTTGGTGAAGTCACTTATCAGCTTACCTATTATACCATTATGCCGAATACAACGTGTCATGTTGGTGTTAATGTGAATTGAAAGCTGTTCTCTCTATCTGAATCTATATTGTCTCTCAGCGGTGTTTGTATGAATAACTTGTTTGTTTCTGCTCTTCACTGTGTTATCTATCAGGCTAGGTTTCACTTTGAGCCGCATCAAGTGGAGTTCAGCCATGGCTACCAACAGGCACCTATGCTGAAGCTCTCTGCGCAACGCGGTACTAGCATGTACATGCTAACAGTGGATCAAAGTGTGTACTTCATGAATGCTACAAACAGGCTGACACATGAGTCTGTAAGCAGAACATACTAACAGAATAGGTAGTTTGCGCAATATTCAGATTTGAGCGGCATGTTCCTAGCGGGTCCACCTGTCCACCATGGTACTCCTTATCTGACTCTTTATGCATTCTTTGGAAGCTTCTTTTACTGTGGGTCAATATTATGAAAACCTCTCCAAGTGTGTGTTGTTTCTGGAGCTACTGTAGCAGAACAGGGATGTACTGTGTATTCTCTACTTTTGCAAGGTGTTGAAATACCAAGTGCCACACATATTGTCAATGCTCTCCACTGTAGATTGCAAGTTATGGTCTTCAGGATTATCCGAATAGTTGCCTGTATGAAGATTCCTGCAACCCCACGATCATATTCAAGGTAAATTGGAGCAAGTATTAGCATTACGACTTCCTGCATCCCTGACACCTTAGAAAGTTCCTAAAACCGAAATACGTATCTGAGCTTAAATCCCTTGAGTGCACTGTTCCCAGGTATGGGTGAAGTATGCGGCACTACATAAAGCACAGATTAATCAGCTGTAACTATAGCCCTGAGAGATTGCTGTACTGTTTTCCTACAATTGGGGTGCACTTCAAAGTAGTTGACTTCAAAGACAGCAGCATAACACCCACTCTTACCTTAAGTCATTTCAAGAGCTTATGATATCCAGCAGCAATATCGTAATATGGTTTCCTATTGTACCTCCTCTATTCTTTCAGAAAGCAGGCCTACTGACTCCGATTGTTCTACATCGCCCGGCTGTTGTGGAAAGGAATCTCACCAATCCTCATTGCCTCCGGGAATCCATGGAAAGAATAGACATAGAAGGTGAGGAATTTACACATTCAGAGTGTGCGGGTGTGTGTTGTGTGGTTGGGTGAGTATGTGTTTGTGTGCTTGTGTGCTTGTGTGCTTGTGTGAGTGTGAGTGTGAATGTGCATGCGCATGCATATAATGTACATGCCTAACAGTATGCCAGATTGGTGCTGTGTAAGTTTCTTGATGTTGGACTGTGCTCTTACCCGCTGCAGATTGCTGCCAGCAAGGGAGAGCTGTGGGAAAGCATCTTGTCGGGAAGGGATATGTATCCCTAAGATGTCTGACTGCGGCTACAAGGACACACCAGCAGGACAAGGTCTGCAGTTCTGTGTTCCAGTCTTGCTGTGTGAACTATCACACTGTGAAGGGCCCTATTGATCCGGATCGACTACGCACATCCTCTGGAAAGAGGTTCAGTCTGGACAAGTTGTACGAAAGAAACTACTTTCCAGAGACCATGATCAGAACTATTGACATGGAGTAAGTCTTGAAGCTGTTTCAGACTACAGTAGAACCTGTAACTAAAGACCACCGTGACTAGCGACCAGCCTGGTACTACTGACCACTTTGTCAGGCACGGACGGTCTCACATTCAAAATGCACTGTGACTAGCAATTACCTGCTGAACGCGACCAGCGACCGCCTTTTCTTGTCCCAAAGACGATTTTTGACCCGTAACTAGCGACCGCGATGTAGGAAATCAAATGTTGCTCGAAGCTCCTTCTTGGAATGTTGCTGATTTTCCATGGTCCTGACAGGAATCTTTCGATACTACAGCTGAACAAATGAATGCAGGTAATTTTGACCTCTCAAAATTTCGCAAGCGCTGTCAAGAATAAACGTGATAGGAAACGTCTTGGAGAGTGCATCGAAAGCGCTCTCTGATCGATGTTACTACTCGGAGGAGAAAAGTAGACTGGGCGGCTCTGTCACCCCAGTCATACAGACGGATCGACGATGGCATCAAGGAATCCAGAAACAAAGCAGCGCCACAAGGT